AGATAGCTTGGAACTTTACACTGACAAGGCTGTTGACCTGGAAGAATAGGCATGCTGATGAGTATGTCTTTATCATGCTTTTATGAATCACATTTGCCCATCGATTACAATCATGATTTCAAAAACATGACTTGATGGGAATTGGGGGTATTTGGGGTCTTTTTGGAATGTGCTTGCACCAGTGCTGGGTACTGATGGTACTGATGCCCTCTTCAAACCCAGTGAAAATTGACAAGGAGGTAGAATATATGTAGATATGGAACAAAAATATAAGCCATATGACATTTATTGATGACTTTCGACATGTTTAGCCAGATGAGACTTTTCAAGATGGAAAAAGAAAGAGGTCAAGAGGAAATTTAGATTGTTTAGATGTCATTCTCACTGTGTTTAGACCTATCAATACACATTTACATATGAATCATCAATCTAAAAACACATCAATATACATCTAATGCAAACAAATGAGATTGTCTATAGGTATCGCTATCATTTGGTGAGGGTATAGGGTATCACTGCTTGCTGTGCCTCACTGACATCCCGCCATGTGTCCTCTAGTCATTGTGGTCATTGTCTTGACCTTGTACAAATCCAGCTATGGAACAAGTTGGTCAGTACATACAATAGGATGTAGTGGACAGTGCTCACCTCCATCATCACCCTCTCCTGCGATGCAGTCTTACATTGACAGCACAATCCACATGTCCAAGTCAACACACTCACTTTTGCAATGGTTGCAACAGGATTAAGTTCACACAATGAGAACAGTGGTTAGATGAGATAAACTCTTTGGACAACTCAGTTATGATATGGAGTTGAAGGCAGCTGTGCTCAGGTGCGAGAATCCATTTGGTTTGGTTTGTACACCACTACGTCGCAAGCAATTGGAGAATGTTCACAGCCTATAAAGATGAATTGACTAATTTGTGAGTTCCTGATAGCTGAGATCATTGTCACTCACACAATCTTGGACCTCGATCTCGGTGCTTGATCCAGATTGTTCTATCTGTTCAATCATGACATTGATGACTCTCTTGAGGTCTTCGAGGAAGCTCTCTCATCCACTGCTTTGTCACTTCAGCAGCCCAGTATCTGAAGAGTTTCATAGCCAAGTGTATACATATGGTGGTTGTATTAGGCCTCAGAGATGCAATCTCTGGCTGGAGCATGTAGGGAATAAGTTTATCCAGTGTAGAAAGTTCACTATGTCATGATCATTCAGCATATTGGGAGGGAGTGAATTCATATGACACACCTGCAGTGCCCTTCATATATCCAAGTGGCTGCACATAGCACCTCAGAACAAATAACCTGCTCATATGCATGCAGCAAGAATGTATCATCTGACAATACCTTCACCATGTCAATGTTCAATACATATGTGAGGTCAATGAGGACTGAGAGGTACCATTTGAAATCAGTGATGTTGTCATATGTGCTTTGAGAACACATTGTCACTCCAGTCCCAGAAGTGCTGGAAGTGCACAAGATGGAAATTCTATCAATATTGGTGTGATTAAGAAAATAAGATAATGTCAAGTTACCTTGAGTTTCAGGCAAAGCACAACACTTGCTTGCTTGAGATGGTCGAGTGATATTGAGTCACAATAACCCAATCAAAATGTTGTCCTGGGACAACATCTTACAGAAATGCTGTACTTTTGTCTTGGAGATTGGAATCCTACCCTGTAGGAAATTGCTGTGCAGCACATGCACATGACTCTTCTGTGACAGTCATTAAATTGGCGATCTCAATCTTACATGATCATTCACTCAGAGTTATCCAGACTGACTTGACTGACTGTTAAGGTTGTACTCAAGGGTTAACAGATCCTAAGGGCTTCAGCCTCAGCTCATGCACTGTGCCCCTTACTCAAGTATTGCCTCTTATTTCAGGAAGGCAAGACTAACGCATCTGGAGGGTCAGATGGGTAGCATAGTGGATCTGGATGACTTCCAGATGAGGGATAAGTATTGTAAGACTAATCCAGATGAGTCCAGACTAGAAACTAGCAGTAATGGCTGTCATAGACAGAGGCGGATGCAGATAGACTATAGGAATCAATCCTAAGTCTCAGAGGGTGACAAGAGTAGTGGTACTCAGGTCCAGAGGACAGGAATGAGCAGAACTAAGTTGATATTTGAACTGAGGTGCTACAGAGAGTTACAGGAGGTTATATACTATAGGTATCTAACAGAATGATCAATCAGCAGAGTCCAAGGCTATGTATGAAGCATATGGATAGTCTATTGGTAAGTAGAATTGGATCATAAATCATGAAATGGAAATGAAGCATAGGTAATGGATCAGGGAGCAGGATGGATATACAGATAGCTGAAATACCAGAGTTAGGGGATTACTGAAAGGAGACAAGTGCTGGTTGTGGATTTGGATGAATTGTGGACTGGACTGGACGAGTGGACAGATTGGATGACAAGATGTTGGAGGGAGATAAGATGTGGATAGGATCAGAGATAAGATGTGGATTGGATCTGAGATGAGATAAGGATCAGATCTGAGATCCAGATATGCAGATATGACACTGACCTTATTAAACATTTAGCAGTCAGTCTGGCCAGTCTAGTAGATTATTATGTAAGCTTGAGATCACCATACAATTGAAGTCAGTCTGGTCAGTCTCAACACTTAAATATGAAAATGGTTGATTTGCATTAGCAGCACCTGGTACAAATTTATAGTAATACATGACTCTTGAGTGATGGTGCCACTCTTCTCTAGGTGAGGGACCCACTCCAGTGGAGAGTTGGCTGGGCTGCTCTGGAGCTTGTCCTTTGGTTACTGTAGGGGGGAAATCTCAGGAGTTAAGCCGGTGAAGCTCAACCCACTCTGTTCAAGGAAATGGCAAAGTATAAATCAGTGCAAGTAGGCTAGGGCCAAACCCAATCTCTGGTCAATAACAATTTCTCATCTGTCTGTTTATTGACAAGTCACATGCATCATGCAGGCAAGAACATTCAAAATTGATTAGCTTTTCATCCATACTAAGATAAGATTGAAACATGGATATACAGTGGCTCAAAAAAGTGTCTCAATTTTTGTGACTTTTTGTGTAATTGCTGTATTATGAGCCAGGGTGTGAGAATATGACTAAGCCATAGGGAGGTGTGGAAAAGCTCAGCTTCTAAGCTTTATGTTTAATCCCTATAGTGTGGGAAGATTATGTTATCAAGTGAAGATATGGTCAATTTGATTTGGTGACTCATTGAGACACTTTTTGACTTTCAGTTTGACCAACACAATCTCTATAATTCTGGTACTTGGTGTTTCCTCCCATTGCTCTAATTACTTCTGCCATTCTTCTATGCATACTATCTATCAATTTGAGGCATTCCTCATCAACAATCTTGCACCACTCTGCTGCAACTCTCTCCCACAGCTGAAATAACCCCTATTGAGGATCTTGATAGACTGTAAGTGATATCTTGAGTAATTACCAGGGCTGTTTAATAAGGTTGAGGTCTGAGGACTGAACTTGCCATGATAGAACACTGATATCATAGTTTTTAAACCATTTATGGTCAACTTGAAGTATGCTTAGGGTCATTGTCTTGTTAGAAGATAATGTTTTCTTCATCAATTCTTAATTCTTGCATGCTTCTGAGCAGATACTTTTCCAAAATTGAAATGTGCTGCTTCACATTCATCCTCCCCCCCACCTTACAGAGAATTCCTACTCCATTCCACCCCATACAACACTATACCATCAAGTTTCATACTCCATATTTTAGTGTTTTCTTGACCTTTCTTTCTTCTAGTAGTTCTTCTGCATTTCATTACATATATTCCTAGCCATCTGACCCCATCCTATTGATTTTTGTCTCATGTGACCAGGTAGTCTTATTCCAGTCCTCAACAGTCCAATATTGAGGCTTTAAAGCAAAGGCTAATCTCCTTCCTATATAGGCTGAAGACAGGAAGGGCTTTTCTGCCTGTTTATAGCTTTAAGAATGGCTGCCTTAAGAGTACCCCTGACTATTTGAGTGGAGAGAGCAGTGTAGATGATGTAATTGATGAATTTGGTGGCTTGAGTAGCATTGGCAGCCTGCTTAGTTGGAATATTATGAACAAGAGATTTTTTGTTATATGATATAAGCTTGAAAGGACAATCTAGTTTGATATTTTTCTTATCTGGAATGACTTTTTATGATCCTAATGATAGCACCCAGCTCAGACCAGTTTTAGTAGCAATCTGCCTGGTATACAGATTAGAAGAGCTAATGATAATAACAATAGGGGCTATTTCAGTTGTGGGAGAGAGTTGCAGCAGAGTGGTGCAAGATTGTTGATGAGGAATGCCTCAAATTGATAGATAGTATGCATAGAAGAATGGCAGAAGTAATTAGAGCAATGGGAGGAAACACCAAGTACCAGAATTATAGAGATTGTGTTGGTCAAACTGAAAGTCAAAAAAGTGTCTCAATGAGCCACCAAATCAAATTGATCATATTCTCACTTGATGACATAATTGTCTCACACTAGAGGGAGCAAACATAAAGCTTAGAAGCTGAGCTTTCCCACACCTCCCTATGGCTTAGTCATATTCTCACACCCTAGCTCATAATACAGAAATTACACAAAAAGTCACAAACATTGAGACACTTTTTTAAGCCACTGTATATATTGTAATGAATGAAATTGTCATGTGGGAGTCTGGTGTTGCATTGGTCCAGCCAGTGTTGCTAGTGGCACCAACCAAGTCCATCCATCCAAACTCCTCTGTTGGTGAGTTCTACATGATGTGTACTGTATCTTGGATATGCCATCTTCCAAGGTCAAGTACTTTAGTTACATTATCACATTGTCTGCATGCCCATTAAACTTTATGTTAGGAGATGGACAATTTGGGAATCACCAATGCAAGGAGGATTGCTGTTCAGATGTAATTTTGAGACTGTTCGCTTACCATTACAAACAGAAAATGTATGCATACAAGGACAAAAAGGTGAACAGATAGTGATGAAACTCTACTCCCTATGAATCAGCCAAGCTGGCTGGTAATGTCATTGGTCTCCTGGAATTGCCTAAGTGTGCTGCTTCCATAGTGTCCTAGGTCACCAAGCTGCCTACATTTTCTCCTAGGTTTATGGCTGGAACCTGTTGGTTAGTGATGCAATTCTGATTTGGTGCTGTGGCTTACCAGGTCTTTCATAGTGGGGCTCATTAGAAGATGTTGAGGAGCTATGACAGTGCTTTTGAGCTTCTTTTACCATAGCAGAGCCTATGGTGGTGCAAATTTTTGGAGTCAGATTGACCTCCAAGTTGACACAGGTGTTCTTGTCTAGCTCAGAATCTTGTATATATGATTGTAAATAAGCATCATTCACTGTCACTGTAGGAGAGGAAGATGTACATACCTGAGGTAGCAGCATGAGGCACCAGATCATCACTGATGCTAGTATCATATCCATCAAGGCCCCAGTTGAGCAGCTGGGTGAGTGGAGGACCAGAAGGCACCTCTGTGCAGATATCCTCTAGAATCTGAGAGCTGTTGGTATCAGTTTTAACGCATCCCTCAGCACTACCAAGATTCTCTCCACATTCTCTGTCATGGCATTCCTCCCCTTCTTCTCCACCATCATATTCCTCCCTCTCATTACCTCTCTCTTTGTTCTCCCAGTATTCTGAATTGTCTCTCTTGTCTGCCATTCCATGACTGTCACAGGCCGCATCATCATCCTTTACCTGACAGGAGTTGTCTTATACAAGACTTTGAGTGCTTGCGCAGCAGAAAATAGCCAAGTAACCCACCATTTTCATTATTTGTGAAGTCACCCTCTCTCCATTGGCCCCTTCCCAGTATCCTCTGCTCTGTTCACTAGCTTCCACTTACACTCATGGGCCTTTGCCTCTTCAACAAGGTGTAGCTCATCTTCCTGTGAGGAAAGTATGATGAACTTTGTGTTTTTCATGACAGATGCATCATTGGCTTCCTCCATGTCAGAACACTAGTAAGCAGCTGCCAATGTCTCAGAAGATGGAACTTCATTCTGGAAGACCTGCTTTTTTGACTTAGAAGACTGACACTGTGTGTATGCATTGGCATTCAAGAACTGATGACAGTAAGCACTAGCATAGTGCATTATGGCTACAACTCACCTTCACCAAGTTTTCAAGTGCACGTTGCACCTCAGGCCTAAGGAGAGGTTGCTCTTGTACATTGACAGCTCCTGTGGTATCCTCCTAGGCTATGGGACTTTTGCATAGTGTTAACAATAGCCTGTACTTGATTGGACTGTCTTGAGCGCATGACATCATGCTTGTGTGCAGCTGACTCAAAGCCTAGATCAAAGGAATGCTCTACTTTGGTAAGCACATGTTGGTTGACTGCCAGCCCATCCAGCCATGTGAAATTAACAAGATGTGGGATCAAGGCCTTGGTGTTGGTGAGTGTTGTCTGCCTCTTTGCACCAGGAAATACAACATGGTATAAGGCAGTATTCTCCTCCAGAGCAAATCTGATTACAGCAGCCTCTCCTGCTAGATCCTCTAGCAGCTCTGGCCTATATGCATTGATGACTGCCTGTTCAGCTATTACCATGCAGGCCATAAGGTGCATGGCACGGGAGTGTGAGGCTACTAATTTTATCAACAACTCAAAGGTGTGGAACTGGATGAGCCTCATGCCTTGAAAAGTGCCCTCAGTGGCGTCACTAGAAATCTTTGACTGGTGAGTCCAAGGCTGATAGAGATTGCGTGCCTGCAAGATGTTGACTTTGGTCCTACCATTCAAGATCTTTTGAGTGTCCAAAGCCTCAATATATAAGTCCTGCCTGCACCTCCTCTCCTCTTCATGAGCTGTAGCCCTGTGCTCAGCATGTTCATCATGACTCCCATCATCTTTATCATCATCATCAGCATCAGAGGACTCTTCACCACTCAATGGCGATAAATCTTCTCAGTCATCCTCCTCTTTGCGGTTCTGCTGTCCCTTTGTCACCTTCTTTTTCTTCTTTCCCTTGTTACCCATAGGACTATCTCCAAGGCCAAAGGTAGCCAGAAGCTGCTGCTGGTTGGTAATGCATTGGGGCATATTGATCTTAGCCAACTGCCATTCCATGTTTATGTATTTGGCAAACATTGAAAAAAATGAATGGTGAATCTGAGGCAAATAAGTATGCTGTGAAAGATGACTAGTAGTGAAATCAAACCTCAACAACTGCTTCACACCTGCATATTGGGTTGAAATTTGGGTGTCCCATGATTGCTCATATCATGTGTGCACTTGCTGACCCAGGCTCCCAGTCTTTTCCATGTCCCTTTGCCATGTATAGCATTGGAGAGAACCATGAGGAGACCTATGAATATTGAATGCTAGGCTAAAATAAGGAATAAACACAATACTCACCTTAACAATTGACCTTTCAATCATGCTCATGTTTCAAACCAGAGTCGTGATTACTGAGTAGGACATGAATGGAAATGAGCAATAGTTGACCCGATTTGAGTTATATAGAACCAGGGCTGCCTTGCCAGCACACCCTAGCAGTGTGGAGCAGACATCCAAGTCCAAGTCCTTTGTCTCATTAGCACTTAGGACCTCATTGGCATACTCATCCATGGCGGTGACCACTGCATAGCTGTACTCCTTGAATATGGTTAACCACATCTCATCCTGATCATCACCAAATCTATATGAAGCTGGAGTATTGTTGCCCAAGTGAGTGTCAAAAATACTTTTCAGTTTGTCACATAGAGGATCAGAAATGGCATTGAGGACAGGCATAGCCCACTTCAAATCCTCTAATATTTCTTCTTTCTTGATCTTCAGTTTCTGGAATGATGTGCTGGTCTTGCTCTTTGCTTCTATTTTTTGATACTCAGCCAGGGTGTCAGACACAGTATTGAAGCACCAACAAAGCTGATTTTCAAGATGAGCAGTTGCATAGGCAATGAGCTGCATAAGTGACCAACAATGAGTGCTATAGTATATATGTAGAATCTAGAACATACACACCCCTCCATAGCCTGACAACATAACCTTGTGGAATTGATTCAGCTGCATCTCAGGGGAATGGATGTAGTAGGTACCTGAAGAGACAAGATTCTTGAGGTGACCAAAGACATAGTCCTGAGACAACAGCTCTGTCTGTTTGGCTGCTGGACCTTTGGCCATAGGGATGCATTCTATGTGCCATGATGTTTTGTTGTTTGCTTCTAACATCTTGTACCTCTGGATTAGGCCCTCCTTAGGAGACTGCATATAGATGTGCTTGGTCTCATTCCTGGAGATGTGTATTCCTACTAGATCATCTACCTGATCTATAGTGGAACATTCAGTAGCTGCTGCACTGCAGCCTCAAGAGTATACTACTCACTGGCATCAAAGACTATGACTATCCATTGGCCATAATACTCAAGGACTTCCCTAAGCCTGTGCAAACATTGTTTGACTGTGGCCATGTTGTCAATATTGTTAATCTCTGCTGCTACAATGTCTTCCACTGCCTGTTTTTCCATATGCCACTCCTCAATTTCAAGGGCATAGACATCTCTCTGCATCTTCAAAACCCATTTCTAGATAGCTTCAGTCTGATGACACCCACCAGCAGCCTTTATTTTCCAATCCTTCAGTGCCTTGTCTGAAATACATAGAATAGGAAGCTCATCCCTCTTCTTGTGGTCCTTCTCCATGGTGTCTTTAACTATCCATTCCTTAGGTAGGACCAAAGGAAATGCATGTATGGGGTTGAATCTGTTCACACCATTTATCAAGAATGATTGATACAGTGACTGCACCTGGTTTTGCATGAGAGGGCAGGGGTTCCAGCCACCAAAGGATAGGCTGTTGTAGTTTTCCATGAGATCAAAGTGGGCATACCCCACAATTGCCTTATTTGCACTCTTATCAAGCCTAGCATCCTCCTTGACATTATGATCCAGTGATGCAGTACCAGATCCCTGGTGGGAGTCCAGCAAGGCTGTGTTTCCAACCTGTTCAAAACAAATTGTATCAACATTATTTGGTGCAGGGTTGAATTACTCACCTTCTCTCTTCCAGCCTTTGTTTTAGCTTTTTCCCCATCCTTGGTCAATCTCAGAGGCATGTTTTGTCAATTTGGGGTGCTGTGCAAGCAAAATTGTTGTGGAATACAGACCAGGGATAATATCTGGGAAAAGCCTTGGACTGCTTGAAGCTGTTGAAGTCAGAGTCAGAGTGTCATGGGAAAACCTTATTTCCAAAGCAGTTTTCTGTTGTAATCAAAGTCACAGTATGTGGTAATATTACAATTATTCTCTATAGTCTGGTATATGCTTAGTATTTTCATCATATTGAAGAGAAAAGAAGTTGGCATCAGCTTACCACATGCAATCTATGTCCATTTACCTCAAGCAAACTTACATTGTTTATCCTACAAAACTCAAGGTATATTTTGTCATTTTGTTTTCTCTTATTGAACTAACATTCAAGAGTTTCCAAATTTGTACAAAAGAAAAATTATAGGCCATCATATGGGAGACCAATGATTTTGGAAATTTCGTTCAAGTTCCCCTGAGGTGCTTAACTTAAGTACCTTGAATAGCTGAACTTGTCATATCCTGTATGCCAGACATAGATCCCATCATATTCCCACACTTTCTGGACCTATTTCCAGACCCCATATCCAACTCATTCCTGGATCCCCTATCCTGTCCACCCTACACACATTCCATCCAGCAAGACATCTGGACTTTACCTCCTCTCAGATTCCAGACTACATCCACCACCTCACATATCTCAGTCCTGTTTCTGCCCTGCCTTCTGGATCCCCAGATCTCTGGACCTATTCCCACCCTCTGTCCAAGATCCTGCACCTATCCCCATTTAGGCATCTCTGCCTTTCTGGTTCTCGGTTATCTCTGTTTCCGTCTTGCTGATTGATCCTTGTATGAGTCTTCATCTCCGAGTTCATTTACTTATGTTCCATCTTACTTACTAATGTGTTTCCACATGCTCATACATAGCCTTACTCTGTTGCTTACTGATCCCCTCAGATATTCTCCAGTATATAACCCTTGTAGATACTCCTGTAGTTTCCTTAGTCTGAATATCATCTTAGATCCTGTTCTACTTGCCCAATCTTCTTCCAGACTTCAGTCGATCTGAGTCTTGTCCTTTTCCATAAGGCCTAGGGATGGATTCCCTAGGCCAGAATTCCAGACCTTCAGATTTGTCCCCTATGTCTCTGTCCCAAGTCTAGGGATTGCTTCCCTAGGCTAGAGTCTTGCCTTTCCAGCACTTACCCTCTCTCTGGACATTGGTCCACTTCCTGTCTCTCCGACTCTACCTAAGAGTAGTCTACCTCTGTTTGCTTCTACATCAGATAAAGTCCAATGTAGCCCCTATTCCTTCTGGACCCCCAGACATCCTGTCCTGTGTACCTCTGGGCATCCTGCCCTTCAGACATTCCACCCCCTGTACCTTCAGATGTCCTGTCCTCCAAACCTTCAGTCCTCCTGTCCTCCATACTTCCAGACCTCCAGACATCCTACCCTTCCATCCCATTTCCTGTAGAAGTACTACCCTGCAGTGGGGACTCTCCTGAGCACTTCCTCCATTCCTCCGGAAATCTCCTGCGCTCCTCTGGACATTTCCCATGCTCCTCCAGACTTCGTCAGACCATCATCAGACTTCCTCTAAAATGAAGGGCACATACTTGGGTAAGGGGCACAGCATACAAGCTGAGGCCAAGCCCCTCTGAGTCAGTCTCTCTCTCCTTTGAGCATAGTTCTTAACAGAACTGACAACTATGTGACAATAGATAGGAGGTTGAAGAGGGTGAAAGGAAAGAAGTTATGTCATAGAATTCGGTGACCATGTCATTGAAGTTATGGAAGTCTGTAGCTATTTGGGACAAGTTGGGTCAGTCAATTAAATTAAGGTGAGGCAAGTCAGTCATTGATCCATACTTTGTAAGCAAATCACAAGTCCTTCTCTATTGGTAAGTTCTCCCAGGGGTTTTACTAAGACTCTGAAGAAGAGAACCAAAGAACCAAAGGAAGGCAGCAAGAGAGGTTGGTTCTGAGCTGGTAGAACAGTGGAATGAGATTGAGAGAAACACCCTGCAACTGTGAGGGACTGGCAGGTCTAGTGTGAGCACTTGAATGGGGAGAGTGTGTAAAACTTTACAAAAGAGAACTGGAAGAGTTGATATCCCAATAGTGCTGATTTTCCCAGAATGCCATAAATTATCATCCCAGGATGACATTTTGATCAGCCAATTGCATTAGAACTATGTCCACTTACATTGAGAAAACATACACCATATATCATACAAAACTCAAGGTATCTTTGGCTCCTCCTTTTTCTTACCAAAGTAACATCTAGATGTTTCCAAGTTTGTATATATGAGTGGGCAGCCTCATATTTCACAAGAACATGTCCATAAAGCAAGTGCACCAGACCTAAAAGACTGAAATGCCAGCCTTGATTTCTTGGCACATCGCAAAGCATGCCAGTGAGCCTTGTGGTTGCAAGTGTAACCATAAGTGAACAGAAGGGGTAGCATATGAAAGTGCAAGGGGAGGAGGCAATCAACACTGAAAACAGAGGCAGCATGATGGAGGGTGATCTCCAGCCATTGCCAGCTAGTCTTTTTCTCAGTGGAAAGAGCATGTGTTATTTCACAAGTGACTATTTGAATGGTGGAAAGATGCTGAAGGAGAGGACCTGTGTATTTGAGCTCCATGTCATCCAGGGTGGCCACAATCTGTAAATACTGAGACAGTTCAAATCTCAATTCAAACATTTCCTTGGGGTCAGGATCTTTGTGCTTGAAATCCAATTTGACCTCAGTGGCAATGGGATACACTGTCTGCATGGCCAAGAAGAGGACCAAGTTGGTCTCTCTCAGGTAGAGAAAGTTGCAGTTGCTCATAGGTGATCTGGACTGGATGTTAGAGAGTTTGACATGGTTGGTGAGATCCATTACTTACATGGTTGTTGTGGAGGGAGCATGTAAGGGCTTGGGAAGTGCATTTGCACCTTGCTGTTGAGCGGATGTCTGCATCAAATTATGAAGCAAAGGTCTTAGAAGTAGACTAATATTGGACCTGTTGAACATGCTGGTTCAACAGTCAATAGCAAGTCCAAGTGAATGTCAAACAGAACATCTGATGTGGCAACAAAGTGAAGAGCAAGAAATGTGGAACACCAATATTTGACAAGAAGCAAGGTATGGTAGTGGGTATGTGCTTTTGATCATGCAGAAGTGTTTTCAAAGGACTTGAGTAAGACAATGCAAAAGACCATAAGTGGGATGTGGTGATCCTGGCCTTATATAATAATTGACACATTTTCTGGACTGAACATATCAAGATTCAACATAATAGTTGAGCTAGACTGACTTGCCTGACTTAAAGACAGAATCACCAATATTGAGACCTACTGAATTCACAGGTGATTGATATGATCAAAGTAGCAACCTGAATTAGTCCAGCAGTGAGCCATATACCTAGGTAATACAAAAAATGAATTTCATGAGTACACACATAACATGCTGGGGAATATCAAAATATACATGAAAAATGATCATCCATGTAATACATGTGCAACATCCAGTAATTCTGACCTACAATACCAGGGAAGTAAAAGTACAACAATTGAAGTGACAGCAACAAGGTCCCTGATGCAAAGGTCCATCAATCTGAGGATTCTATAGTGGGTGACTTTAACCCAAAGGCCTCTTCATCCATATTTGTATATAGTGGTGCACCCTGAAAGAATGTGATGAGGAGGTCAGAAGAGGTTAGGGTTTGCCTTGGAGAGTGTGGAGGAGTGTGGAGAAGACTTGAAAGGCTAAGGGGCAAAACATTTTTGTGAGCTGGTCATTTCGTCAACATCTGGTTCATACAAGAGGCAGACAATGGTGTCTTTCAGTATGGGAATTGAAAAGGTTATGAATGGAATCCCTATGTAAATATCTTGCAAGTCATCACCATCACATCTAATGGAGAGAAGGGGTGCTGCTTCTTGAAAGCGATGTCCATTGCTAGCACATATTTCCTCTATGGTCTGAATCTGGGTAATTGTCAAATGATGGGGTTCAATGATAGGGATTGGGACAACAATTGTCTGGTCTGACTTACATACTAGAGATCTTGGATCTAGGTAGAGTCAAGTGTTAGGTAGAGTCAATGCTTGACAATGACATAGTAAGGACAAGGAATGTAATGTTGTTTGTAAGCAGCACCTGACTATGTTCCATAATGTCATATGCCATTCTGGACCCTCAACTCTAAATCCACTTCTCCAGATATCTGGTTCCGAGATCTGGATCTCCAATGATCTAATCTATCTTTATCTTCCTTCTGGAATCCAAACCCTCTATCAGTGCCCAACCCCATTTAGACTTCCTGTCTCCAGACTCCAGTTAACTATGTTTCCCTTCTGATTATTGATCCATTACATGCATTTCATTTCTGGTGTTCATTATTTGTGATCCATCCTACTTACTAATAGACTTTGCATATGCTTCATACATAGCCTTTGTGTTTGCTGACTGATTCCTATATGATACCTACAGTATATAGACCTCCTATAACTCTCAGAAATACTTCAGTTCAAATATCATCTTAGTTCCTGCTCATTTCTGTGTCCTCCAGACTTGAGCCAAGTCTCTTGTCATATTCCGAGTCTTAGGATTGTATCCTAGACTACATCTCTGGCTCTACCTTAGGGTAGTATATCCCCTGTTAGTTTCTAGTCTGGACTTCATCTGGATTAGTCTTATCTGCTTGGCCAAGTAACATCCGGATATCCACCAGATTTATCTCCTGTTTCAGACCTGGACGTCCATTGTCCACCCTAGTCAAATCCCAGAAACTCCAGACAACTGTTCTAGCCCCTGGAAATTAAGGGCACATACTTGGGAAAAGGACACAGTGTATGAGCTGAGGCCAAGCCCTTGTGATCTGACCCCCTTGAGCACGTGACCTTAACACATAAGTAGATCACATGACTGACTCCAACTACCACAATGTTCTTTGTAAGCAGCACCTGGCTAATGTTCCATGAGTCACTGACTGACTTTCCTGACCTGAATGACCACCCTCCATAATTGGTATGGTGACTTAATTAACCTGACTGACCACTTTCCATAATTGATATCATGACCAACTGACCACCTTCCATGTGCTTGACAATGAGCAATATTGATGTAATGTGCTTCACATTATTCCATAAATACTATCCTTTACTATTCATGATGAGCCTGTATTTCATGAGTCACGCTCATGTCATGAATAGTAATGAACAGTCACACTGGCCGAATTTACAGTTCACTTGGCAGACATTAGATTTGTGATTCATGAACTTCAACAGAAATTGGTTAGGATGTTACTAATAAAACTTGTGAGATATGGTATGTATGGAGAATTATATAGAACCAAATTCAAATTATTAACACAGTGTAAAATATTGTTGAGGGAATGTATGTGGATGTGAGTATTGATACATAGATGGATCATGAAGTCTGTGACTAGATTCCATGGCTTGTGAGTAGAGATAGACTTCTTCTGATAAGCAAGGTAACAATGATGCCAATTCCTCCCAGGAAGCCTTCCACTAATCTCATTGACCCAGGAACATAGATCATGAGGGTACACAGTGCATGCAGCACCAGATTTGTGAGCCTGCCAATCCTTCACAGCATCCTCTTCAGATAACTGGAGGAGTTGCCATAACTTGGCATAATCCCTGCAAGATACATGCAGACCCTTGCTTTGGTCTTTAAGAGTCTGTCATGTGACCAGTACAATGAAATTAGCATTGGAGGAACTCAAAAAATACATATTCATACCTTGTGTACCCTTGCAGCTACTGAGATATTCTTGCAGGTGCCTGTTATGAACTTGGATAGAGTGTTGTTCCAATAAAGGAATCAAGATCAAGGCCAATCAAGGACTAAGCCTTATCAAGTCAATGCCTCCCTCAGGAGCGATCATCTAGACTCCTGCAGGATCTAGAGTTCAAATGGGACAGATGGCTAGCCTCCTTCCCAAGGAGCTAGAGTTCAAGTATCAGAGAGAACCGAGTAGATTCAAGTTAGAGAAAATACAAGTGGTAGCTAGGGTTTATATATGTAAACAAATTGTGCACAGACCAAGCTAGGCAAAGGGTAACTAGTAGTAGAAATGGAAGGTTCATGGGAAAACAGGGTGTGAGTCAGAGATAAGAGAGACCATGAGGAAGCAGCACAGTGAAAAGGAAGTGTTAGAAGTACAGCCATGTAGGGGTCTGCAGTGATGATGAGAAAAAGAGTGGGGCACTGTAACAGTGCCATTTGCAACATCCATGAATGCAGCCTGGATCTTAGACTCATACTTGTGGTCAGTAGATGACAACAGCTTGCCTTGGTGATGCCCCATGGCATGGCAATTGAGCCCTGCTCAGTGCTTACCACTAGCTCACAGAGTCACAGACTGCAGCTGCAATGAAATGCACTGTTAAAATTGAATGTCCGATGTCAGCAGCCATGGCAGGTGACACCAAATCATGATTTTTGCTGCTGTCACACTGAAAATGTGATCTCCACATTTTACAATGGATTTGTATCGTTTCACTTGGAGTATGCTAGTATAGTATGTAGATACTCAGTGAAGGAGCTAAGCAATGACTTTAAAATAGAGTGCTGTAGACAAAATCACAAATAGACCATAGGGGATAGTAGTAATGAGTATTATCCATGGACTGTGGTAATGTTTCAACAATAAAATGACTGACTTGGCTGACATAGGACTGACACTTGCCTGACGGAGTTGCCATCCTTGCAACAAGTTATGTATTCTGTGATCACTAATGACTATAAAAACCATTTATGCATGTGTGTTATACAGTCTGTGGATAAAAATGAACAAAGTAATAGGCTATGGTAATAAACAAGCTTGCTGCCCTAAGCTAAAGTTGTGAACGAACCCATGAAAGGATGCAGATCATCAACCTGTTTGCATAACCACCACACATGAGCCTCAGTTCCAGCTGTACTCTCTTCACTATATGCAATTGTGGTGTGTCAACAAGGTTTTTTGAACCAGTCAGCACAGTGGATGAACACAAGCTTACTGTGATTATGAATTGTGGCAATATGTTCCAAGAACTAGGTCTCCCAAGTCGGTGACCATTCTCCTTCCCATGACTGGTATATCTCAAAGAACTTCAGAGGAGGCCATCAAGAGTGGTTGTTACTGGTGAGGCCTATCAGAAAATTGATGTGATCTTCTGTCATTGTATTGTTGATGTCCATGCCATTGCGATCAATATTGCAGTGTATGGAAGCATCAGTGGATGGTCCAGACAAGGCAGATGAAAACAGGTCATTGGGCCCATAGTGCACTGCAAGCCACCACAGCAGACCACCCATTGTAAACACACACTGGGAAAATGGAAGGCAGAAAAAGTATTTGGCCCTATCCTCATACTGGGTAAACACATCGCTGTCCATATGTTGAAGGTGGGGATGTTTGGCATCGAGATAGATGGGGTGAGGAGCCAGGATACCATAATGAGGGCTGATGAGGTGATGGGGGTTGACAAAAACCTGCCAATTGAGTCCTTGAGAGAGACATTGAATAGTAAAATACCATAATGGTACGTCCAGATATTGCACTCTTCACAGATGCAGTCTTAATTTGGTCCTCTTAGAGACGACCAATCTACCATGAGAGATGACATTTAAAAATGTGTATGAAGGATTGCAAATGATGTGGAGAATGTGGTTTTTAATATGGCAGTTTGTCAGTGATGAGGAAAGGGGACTGGGAAGGTTGAACTGCTTGAGGCAGTTGGTATTCTTGATGATCCACTGAGTAGTTGTTGTCTCAGCAGGTCAACTAATGGACATGGCTTTGATTGGTTTGCGAGGTGCATTACCATGACTGACCATCAGAGGTCTGACTGCTGGCCTGTTTTTATGAGCCATACTGCAGAGAAGATATCTGGAAGTCAAATGAAGTGTTCAATGTTGTGTAAATGGATGACTAGCTGGAAATTACAAGCTAGATATCCATAGAGAGAGATCCCAGGCCAAAGTCAAATGAAGTGTTCAACTGTGTGTGTGTGTGTGAGAGAGAGAAGAGATCCAAGGGCGAAGTCAAACAAAGTGTTCAACACAAAGATAGGGAAGATATCCAAGACCAGAATGAATAAGAATATTGCTAGATAACGAGAAATCAACTGAAAAGGGTACTGGAAGCTGAGGGAGAAAATTGAGAGCAGGAGAGGAATAGAAGAATAGAACAGAATAAAATGCCTGGGCCTGGGTGTCAGTCAAGCATTTGTATATGTCACATAAGTATACATGAGTGAGCAGAAAGTTGAGGGAAGTCCCTAGGACCATGAAAATGCAACCAAGGCAGGCTTTGAGTGGAGGTAATGCAGAAATCAATATAATAACCCACTGATGAGAGGGCACATGCAGCATCCAGAGAGTATAGTAAGACATTGTCAGAGTCATATGATCCACCATACCTGGCCATAAAATGGGTGGATGAAATTCATGGATCAAAACAATCCAAACATGAAATAACAAGCAGAGATTTACCTGTGGAATCAGAGTGCAATACTGGTGCATAGGATGGTGTAGAACTGTCCTTGAAGCACTGGCAGCAGCTGGGAGTGTATGTAAAGAGAAGAACATGCTAGTAACAAGATGGTTAAAAATGCGAACCATGGAACTTACCCTTACCATACCAAAAGAGGTGCCCAGCACTTGTCTAAAGAGCAGGGAAGCCTCAGAATAATGAAGGTCATCCTCAAGTATTATTATAACAAGGTAAAAGAGCTCTGATCCAGAATAGAGTGAATCACCAAGCAAATATTGGAACCAGACTTGACTGACTTTAAAGACTGACTGGATGGACTCTGAGCCAGCCAAGATATTTCTCAAGACATTCATGCTGGGCATATTTGTCACCTTAGACATCTTTTCAAACAGGGGCCAAGGTCACTTATTTGTGCTAAGTGTGAGGAGGATGATAATTGTCATTATTGTGAATATTGTGCAATTTATACAGTGAGTGAAGTATGAGTATGTGGGGAGTGTAAACATCATGGTTTGTATGAATCAGATCAGATGAGAAAGTGCACATGATTGTGCTACCTCATATGCAACCAAGCTCCCAAGCAATAGCACTCCGCCAATGGATGTTCCTGAGGAAGAGTCAACTAGCATCATTTCATGAGGTGCCAGTGTCTGTCAAGGCACAGAGGGTATAATTGTTGAGAAGGTTGAGTGGCAGTATACTTGTGGTGGATTATCACCATATCTCCCAGGTAGTAGTATGGAAATCTTCCTGTAAGAGTCTAATCACACTCATAACTATATTATCAACATGTCAGCATTAATTGGCACCTGCCTGCAATATGTTACTTTGTTTTTGTCAGCCATACAGGGGATCCATTGCATGTCTCTCTGAATAACTCAGGAGCCATCCATGACAAGTTGCCTTGTAAGTTTGAGGTCCAGGAGGCAATGACAGACTGGGTGATGGAAAGGCCAAAGTCAGTGAAGTGAGCTGCACTGTACAGTGGCTCAAAAAACTGTCCACATGTTTTTGCATTTTTTACTATTTACAATATTGTGTGAGAATACATAAAGACCTCAGTGACATGCTAATACCATATTGTAGTGCTGCTTCAGGGCTTTGGTGTTAAGGTCGCGTGCTCAAGGGGGTCGGATCACAAGGGCTTGGCCTCAGCTTGTACGCTGTGCCCCTTTCCCAAGTATGTGCCCTTAATTTCTGGGGGCTAGAACAGTCGTCCAGAGTTTCCAGGATTTGACTGGGGCAGATAACAGATGTCTGGATCTGAGACATGAGATAAATCTGTCGGATGTCCGGATATTACCTGGGCAAGCAGATAAGACTAATCCGGACGAAGTCCGGACTAGAAACTAACAGAGGATGGACTACCCTTAAGGTAGAGTCGGAAATATAGTCTAGGATGCAATCCTAAGACTCGGAATATGACAAGAGACTTATCTTGAGTCCGGAGGACACAGGAATGAGCAGGAACTAAGATGATATTTGAACTGAAGTATTTCCGAGAGTTACAGGAGGTTTATATACTGTAGGTATCATATAGGAATCAGTCAGCAAACATAAAGGCTATGTACGAAGCATATGCAAAGTCTATTAGTAAGTAGGACAGATCACAAATAATGAACACCGGAAATGAAATGTATGTAATGGATCAATAATCAAAAGGGAAACATGGTTAACTGGAGTCCAGAGACAGGGGCAGTCTAAATGGAGTTGGGCGCTGATATAGGGTTTGGATTCGGAAGGGAGATAAAGATAGATCAGATCATTTGAGAAGCGGATTTAGAGTTGAGAGTCCGGAATGGCATATGACATTTGGATTGAGTACCACATCGTGAGAATCAGAGGAGATATGGTGGAGATACAAGGCTTACAAAATCATGACTCATGCGAACAGTTTTTTGAGCACATATTAAAACTATATAAATCATCATTTATGACACCATAACAATCATGCCACCATTAAATAAATTATAAAGTGGTGTCATTATGTCATTTTAAAACCATATCTAACTATACAAACCAAAAATTTCCATATGTCATGGTTATATTCACCATGAAAGCCACCCCCCCTGCTCAAAGGGATAATATCCTCTCTCTTTCCTATTCTGGCCTCTCTGCTTGTCAAATTTCCTCTAGAACTGGAGTATCTAAGTCCACTGTGGCCAAGTTCATCAAAGAAAGTCACACAGACAAGGAAAACTTCTGTGAAGGGTGTCTATCCAAGCTCGCCTCTACTTATAGGAGGGCTATTATTCAACATATCACTACAGGAAAGGCTGATAATGCTGTCCAGGTCACCTATTATATCAATTCCACCATCACATTCCCTGTCTCTTCACACACTGTGAGAAACATTCTCAAGTCTGTGGATGGTTGGATGAGACTTACACCAGTGAGGTCACCATGGACGATGTTGTTAACATGTACTGGCAATGAAAAATTAGGACACAGAGTAAGATGTGTTTACCATTGGACATACAGTATTGGAGGCCACCTACAACATCTCTGAGCTGAGAGTGCCATCAGCAGGCGGTCACAACAAGGGCAAGGAATGGTAAATTGATATAAAGCTGCTGTTAAGCCCCTCTTCCTGAGGAGTGGGAGCCAGAAAGTCTGATTCACTGTCTTGGAAACTTCTGTGGTAGTGGGAGTCGTGACAAATTTCATGGCTAAGCAATGGCAATCAATGAATCATGGTTGGTCCAAATTGAATCAAAATCTAGTATGAACACCATCACCTTGAAGCTAAATGTGACTTTTCATGATTTTTTTTTCCTTATCACACCAATTTTGACAGAAGTCCCATTTTCAGCATGCCTGATGCCTTCCGAGACTCATGTTCACTCTTGATATGGAGAAAGAGAATTGGGTATTGAAACCCATGAACTGCCCAGGTCAAGTATGCACCAATTCAGTTGGGTCAGTCTGAATAACTCTGAGTGAATGATGTAAGATTGAGATTGCTAATATTATGTAGAAGGTCAGTCAAGTCAGTCCAGACAACTCTGAGGCGATATAAGATTGAGATCACTATATGTAAAAGGTCAGTCAAGTCAATCTGGACAATTCTGAGGCAATGTATGAGATCATCATGTGTAGAAGGTTGGTCTGGCCAGTCCTGGACAACTCTGAGGTGCTGAAAGATTGAGATTGCAAATATATGTAGAAGGTCAGTCAAGTCAGTCAGTGGAGGCCCTGAAGGGGTAACTAATAATTTTGCACTGATGAACCTTTCTTATGAACAGGTGCAGAACCCACCCCAATATGCACATCCAAGCAGTTGTTATTTTTGCCTGTCCCCACAGATAGAAGATGAGATTGGCACACAATTTTATTTCATGCAATGCACCTATGGCCTTCATGGTTTCATGTTCCACCTTGAACTACTCACTCACCCCAACAACTATTTCAGCACCATCGAGACTTGGAACACTGTGGAAGACCAATTCTCCAAAGCACTTGATAATCAATTTCAAGGAACATGGCAAGTCAACCCTGGAGATGGTGTGTTCTATGGCTCCAAGATTGATGTCACCATCCGCAACATCCTCTACCGATCATTCCAGAGAATGTATTATAATTTGAATCTGATACCGCCATATGTACACACCAAAGTCAGGTCATGTGAGTGCCCACTGTCATTGAAACAACAAACAAATGCTAACTCTAAAACCATACAGGAAACCCTGGACTGAGTTCCATTGTTCAAACATGGAAAAATATGATGTTGGTCAATGTTTTGCATCAGTGCACAAGTACAGTAGGTCTGCTGTGCGAGACCTGGTCAAATGTCTGGCTGGTGGCTATTGTATACATTATTTCTGACATTTGGAATATAAGTAGTATAGGTGGTATTAGTTGTACAATTGGATGACAAGAAAAATGTAATCATCAAGTGAGAGATGTAACAGTTGAAGACATGATGAAAGTTCATCTTGTGAAACCAACTCACCTGGGTCACTTTGATTGCTGGATTGGTAGGATTGCTGCATTGTGGCCATATCCTTGTAGAAATGATGAATGATCACTGTGGCGATGGTGACCACTCTTTTGGTGCTCTCTGATTCAATGATTTTGTATCCCTGGTCATTGTTCAAAGCCTTATACTTGTCACAGTTGATCACCATCAGGCAGAGGCCAACAAGTGCCCTGTGATGTAATTCTTCAAAGCACTTTAAAACCACAATGCAAGATAATTTGGTGACTTACTGACATTAGATGAGAGTTGTGGAAGAGCTATCATCATCCTCTGGAATGTCTCCAGAGCATTGTTGTGCACCTGATTGGTAAGAAACTGTGCCTTGTGAGCATCAATGTAGTGGAAGCTCTCAGTTAGATGTAAAGATCCAAAGTTATGCAAGTGTCCACCAGTGGTGAATGATTTGTTAGGAGTATACACAGCACGAACTTGGCCAGCAGGTTGAAAACTTGAAATTATAAGGCAAACTCCAGAACAAGTGTCAAAGGACACTTATAGCAGGTCTCTGTCCAACAGTGTGATGACCTCTGCATCTGGCAAAGTTGGCAAATAACATCTGTGCCTTTTGAAGGACTGTTTGACTGAGCACATGTTTGGGGTGGAAGACTACCCAGAACTTGATACCCATTTTGATCTGGACAAATGTTATGGCACTATCAGCATTGTGATGAGGGTAGGACATGAACCCTGCCTGGTGAAGTAATATCCAGGACTTTGTGGTGAAGTTGTCTGGGTGCACTTTGCTGCTTTCAATGGGACAATCAACTGTGGTCTTGTTCCAGCCATATATGAGGCCATGGTCTAGAAGGCTAGAAAGTGGGCAGTTAGAAATAGTCATGAAAGGGAATGTTGAACTCACTGGAGCTCTGGTGGGAGACCTACATGGGAAAGAGGTATGTTGAGTATGTATTGGATTTTGGATGGGTTGTTTATGTCATCTAGGAATTGCTGTATTGTCCCTTTCATGTGGGAATGTGCGAAATCCATTACTTGTTTGCTGACATCTATTGGGAAAGTTGAATTGTAGGGTAAACAAAACAAGCAGACTGACCATGTATGGTAACAGTGTATCAGGGGCAATATCCTGAAATTAGTCTCTAGATATTCTACATCCAGTGCAGGGGCACTATCACTACCACTTCCCCAGATAATGACAGGTTTGTTATGGTGAAGGGCCTCACTGATGGATTGCTGTAATTGACATCTTGTCAAGCCATTGTGTTAGAGGTGAACAATGTTGTTAGAGGTGGGTTTCGATTCCAAAAACTTGGAGAGGAACTGCACCATGGCAACATCTGTGTCCTTGTATATGTTGATGCCTTTGCTCATGACACAGGGAAGCACTGTCCTGCACCCATCAGCCCAAGTGACCATTTTAGATTGTTGCAGTACTTTGACACTGAGGATGCCAGATATCAAGTCTAGATTGGGAGGAGATAGAGGTTGCAATGCATCTGAGATGCATTGAGGTGGATTAGTCATGACATCAGCATCTACCATATGACAGGGTGGCACAGGGCTCCTGAGTACAGGATCTATGAGGCTATCTTCGATAGATATGAATTGGGGAAGTGCAGGAGTAGAGTGCTGAACAGAGGGAACTCCAGGAGGTGTAGTCACTGGTATCTGCCTATGAAATTGAGGAGGTGGACCCTGGCCAGGGGACTCCTTTAACATTTTCTCATGATGTTGCTGAGCTCATTTGCTTGTGCGATTTTGCACCCTGATCCTTTCTGCACTCTCAGGATCTTCCACCTATTGGGCAAGCCATCTTCTTTTCTGTTATGCTTGCTTCTCTTTGGGGTCAAGGCCTTGCAAGTTGTATTTGAAGCATAGAGGCATGATTAAACTACATATATATTTAAGTTGATATTGTGGTGATGGTGGTGAGAACTTATCACATTTATTTACTGTTGTTTGTTGGTTAGTAATATGCTTTGTCAGCAACCAGAGGGGCAGGCACTCAGACAAACACATAACATGATGGTGTAGCCCCTACAACATTCGAAACATGTCTTACATCTACTTGCATGCGATCTTATTGGTCTTGACCTTTGGAATCATCAGACTAGCAGTAGCAGTAAACCCGATAAATATACTCACCTTAGGGTTAAGTGATCTTATTGGTCTTGACCTTTAGAATCATCAGACCACTGGCAGTGGTCTGATAAATATACTTCCCTTAGGGTTTTGGAGGGTGTGTTATTTGGAGATGGGCCAAACACTTACATTAAACAATGGGGTAGTGAGAGTAAAAAAATGCCAAATGTTTGCATTCAATGCAGGGATGGTGAGATTTCAAATACCAAATGTTGATGTTTGACAAGAGAATACCAAAAGGGGTAAAATTCCAAACATATGGTAATGAGTCACAAAATGAGTGAAGAGACTATCCATTTGATACCATTCCCACTCAATCTATAGTACTTTGTATTTATACTATGCTCCACTAATAGAAATAACTGGTCCATAGTATTACAAAACCTGGAAGCTATGGTTGTGCTTGCATCTTATCTGATGCAAGTTCCGATTCCAACCAAACATTAACATTTGACTCAGTGGTAGCACAAAAGGATTGGAGTTGTACACCTGACTAATTATGCACAGTTTCCCCATTGGGTCACTAGATTGTGAAATTGATGTCATGAATTCAGTAACTATGTCATTGAAGTCATGGAAGTCAGTCAATTAAGTACACTGAAGTTATCCATTGGTTCAAAGGTCAATCAAGGTCAGTCAGAGGTAAGGTCAGGCAAGTGAGTATCAGAAAATGTATTCATTCATTCATTCATCCATCCATCCATCCACATATATATGTAGCATTAAACAAATCATAAACACTAGAGTTTTGTAAGATCACAAGTTCTTCTCTATTGATAAACTCTCCTGTGTGTTAGACTATGACCACATTGAGGTTTATGAGGCCCATAATGAGATGCTGAACTTGATTAATTACACATTACCTAAAGTTCTCAACATCCACAGGTGACACTGCATGAACCCAATGTCTAATAATATCAGTATGAATGAATTGTGGCCACAGCTAGAACACACCTGATGCCTCCAGTACTAATGTGTTCTTTGATAATAGCAGAGCTAATTGCAAGTTAGGTATGCACAAGAAGAGATAATCATACTTTTCTTGTGGATTTAAAAGGGGACTTTGGTAGCCCTCTTTCAAACCCAAGGCAAGTGATCTAGGCTGTCTCTGAGTAGACTGTGTCTGATCCACTCTGAGATGAACCAAAGCAAGATTTGAGATGTAAGCCACAGCAAGTTCAATTCTAGGACTCAGATTACTCATGGTGAGTTACAACTTACAGTAAGCATGTGGAAGCTGCATGACCACCATGTGAGAGCTCTGTGGTAGGTGCCAATTACCTACTTGACCAGTTAAGAGAACTAAGTATTGATTCTTTACCAGTCCTTCAATGCATCACATGCCACCTACTGCTAATATCTGGACATCACTGTCCACTCAGACTATCACTGAGCTTATAGATTTGCTGCCTGAGATTATCAATTCTTATCTGTCATCTGGTGCCCCAACACATCTCTATGAATTCCTGTTATCAAACACAAAAGAGCCCAAATGTGAGGACCACCATATATCAAACCATTCTTCTACCACTACAGAGAGTCAAGAAAATCAGTCAGAGAGTATAGGAAATGAGATGGGGAGACGGCTGCACCCTAGGACCAGCATTCACCCCTCAGCCAGTGAGTTTCTGTCTATACCAATCTGTAACTTGTCAAATTGATTCTCTTTAGCCCCAAGCCAGCTGCACACATTACTCCAAGTTTGTCCTCCAGAGTTTCTGAATTGAAAAAGACAGAAAGATGCCAACCATCCAGAAGAGCCACAGGTGCTAAAAGCAAGTGCTGCCGCAGAAATAGAAAGAGAGTGGAACTTTTTGAGGGTCCTCCTAGAAAAAGGGTCCATATCAATAATGGTGAAGAGAAATCTGAAGAGGATATGGGCAATGAAGGGGAAGAGGCAACCTGGCAAACCAATGGATCTCCTCCTCTGGACCCAACAATGCTGACCAGAATTGCACAGTTAGCAAACCTGTCATCCTCAGATAATCTCAACCATATCCAGAATCTTCTGGCTGTTTGTCATATCTCACAATCCAGACTTACATTCCATAATATTCCCACACCTTCCAAGCCTACATCTAGACCCCATATCCAACTCATTGCCAGATCTCCTTCCGCTGTGTGCTTCACATCTCAGTAGGATTGATTCCACTCCAGATTTACCCCTGAGCTCTGGACCTCTGGATCCTCACTGCTAGCCTGATCCATACCACCCTATCCTGTCCACCCTATGTGCACTCCATCTAGCAAGACATCCAGACTTCACCTTGTCTTGGATTCAGGACTATATCCACCTCATCATATCCCAGTCCTGTATCTACCTCACCTTCCAGATCCTCAGATCTCTGGACCTCCGGATATCAACCATAACTATCTCTGGATGTATTCCTGCCCTCTGTCCAATATCCTGTGCCTATCCCCATTTAGACATCTCTGCCTTTCTGGTGTTTGGTTACCTCTTCTTCCATCTTGCTTATTGATCCTTGTATGAGTCTTCATCTCTAAGTTCATTTAGTTATGTGCTGTCTTACTTACTAATGTGTTTCCACATGCTCAGTACATAGCCTTGCTCCTTTGCTTACTGATTCCCTCAGATAGTCTCCAGTATATAACCCCTGTAGATACTCCTGTAGTTTCCTCAGTTTGAATATCATCTTAGATCTTGTTTTACTTGCCCAATCCTCTCTCAGACTTTGGTTCACCTAAGTCTGTCCTATCCATCAGGCCTAGGGATTGATTCCCTAGGCTGGAGCTCCACCTTTCCAGCACTTACCCTCTTTCTGGACTTAGGTCCAATCCCTGTCACTCCAACTCTACCTTAGGGTAGTCTACCTCTGTTTGTTTCTACATCATATAGAGTCTGATGTAGCCCCTATTCCTTCCATACCTTCAGACGTCCTATCCTCCTGTCCTCCTAACCCTTGGACGTCCTGCCCTCCTGTCCTTCTGTCCTCCATCATCCTGTCCTCCTGTCCTCCTGTCCTCTGGACCTTCAGACCTCCTATCCTTCTATCCTGTTTTCTGTAGAAGTATTACCTTGCAGTGGGAACTCTCCTGAGCACTTCCTGTGTTCCTCTGGAACTCTCCTGTGCTCCTCCAAACATTTCCCATGCTCCTCCAGAAGTCCTCTAGCACTCTACCAGAGTAGCCAGCCTCCGGAAGTCCTCTGGACTTTGTTGGACCATCATTGGACCTCATATGAAATGAAGGGTCCATACTTGGGTAAAGGGCACAGCATATGAGTTAAGGCCAAGCCCCTCTGAGTCAATCTCTCTCTCCCTTGAGCAGCATGGTTCTTAACACTATTATCCAGAAGAAAACATGCACCACTCTCAATCCTACCTCTGCACAAGACCTCACTTTGCAAAAGCTGATCTGCAAGTGCCAGACTAATAATGAAAACAGCCAATATATCTCCTTTATCTCCATGCTAGACAATATCCAGTTGGCATTTCATTTGGCTTTGTATGCTCTTGATTATTCCACCATTGCCTGTCTATTGACTTAAGTCTGTCAATTGGTTTTCAACTTTCACCCAACACTAGCTTTACCCAGCTGGAGAAAGATATGGGGCTATCCAGGGGGTCAGTCTCTGATATGTCAAAGCAGGGACAGCATCTAGCCTTTATTGCATGTGCTGGTGGGCTGTGTCTTTTTGTTTTCTTTCGGATGTATTAAGATTATCATTATCAGGGACACCATATATTCTGCTACTTATAGCAGTAGCAGGAATGGCTGGACAGCTTATTCATTGAAGCAAGGTGACTCATGATATGGTAATCATCTTTTCAAAGATTCTTTATTCTCCCAAAAGTATGTAATGTTATGATGTCATTTGAATAACTGCTCAGCCTACATAGTGTGGACCAAAGAAGATGGGACTGTAAAGCATGTGGCTACTATAGTCAGGCTCTTGACTAGAATACATGTTCAGTCTCAGTCTCAACTTTAATTCCTTATCTTTGCAAAGGGGCTGGACAGCTGCTCTAAAGATATCATTTTAAACTTCTTAGACATATCAGCATGTGATGATTTACTATCTACTCTCCCTTTCAAGTACACTTTCAAACTTGCGATTGATGGAGTCATCTAAAGATCTGATTTCTTCCAGTACATATAATCTTCCCAAACAAGACTTAGATATATGGTGTCCTTTACTGTCTCCTGATGTTTCTCTCTCCCAACTACCTCTCTTCTATTAATCAATCTTCTGTGGAGATGGCTGACCGTCAGCTTGTAAAGATTAAGTCACCTCTTTGCATGAGTGCTTTTGGTCCATCTCCTGTTAATAAAGAGAATTATTCCTGGTGGACTGGTCAGGAGAGACAGAAGGCTATGAAGACTACCAGGGTCATTGATCTATGTGATATTCAGCCCAAGGTAAGCTATCTTGTATAATGTTTCCAATCCAGCACTAAATTTTGGTATTAGATGAATGAACTCTTTGCTGGTGGCATTAGAAAAGACGGTCAGTATCTACACATCTCTCATGAATTCATCCAACAGTAAGTTTACTTACTCTAATCTATTCTCATATATTCATGGGAATGCTTTCAGCCAGGATGTCAAGTTTGTTGACAAGGATGGGAAGCTCCTAGGTCTTTTTATCTCACAAACTTCTCCAATCATCAATGACCATCTCAGACAGCTCAAGGATTATCTTAATTTGGAGATGCCTAGTCATATGGCCCCTATCGACTCTTCCCTCAACTCAGGTGGAACATTTCCAACGATGCACTTCAACTACTTTACCAGATATGGTGAACAGGTATATATTTTCTCTCTCACATCTGGTACAATCTAATTCACATCCCAGGGAAATGGAGCTCCTACCAGTGTAGAGACTTGCTCCTCTATATCACTGCTACTGGATGACATACCACCCCTTTCCACTGATACTCCGGTTCTGATCCTCTGGATAAGACACTCATGCTATTGCACACTGACATGCGACTGCTGCGTGCATGTGAACACACTTGCATATCCTGCATGCCCACTCTAGGTCCTCCGCTACAGTCCATCCACCCATCCATGTCCTCGCTAAAGTCCACTGGTGCATTTTTATCATACTCTTATCACTCTGACATACCTTCCAGGCCAATTATAGCACTATAAATGTGCAAGCATGGGCTCAAAACACTATTACATACAGATATCGCTACCTACTCACTTCACCTCCATGCAACAAGCATTGCCTAGCACCCAATATAGAGAAGGGACTGAGAGTTTTTTAAAGGACCTTATCCTAGTACCTCCCACCTCTGTGTAGTAGCAGTAGTTTGTGCATTTGAGCCAGTTTGAAAGTACTAAAAATTGGAACTTGCACACTACCTTCATAGATGCAATTGCCTCGATTCTCTCTCCACTGGATTTCATTTCCAGATAGCTCTAGCACCTACACTTTAGACCCCCATTGTGCATGCTCTTGCTTTCTATCACAGTAGCACGCTTCTGTGCATGTCTTCTTCACACTTTGCGCATCCTATAGCGCCCATTCAGTTTTGGAGTCTCCCTCAGTCATTTCAAGGACCTTCTCTCAGTAGCTGTCATTAGGGTCAAGTTCTGTCTCACATCCAGGTCTTGCTTTAGTTTCCCCCATAGTCCAAAGTCCTCACCTTCACTGGTATCCATCCAGACCTGCTACACAAGATGGGCAAATCCCGGGTCAATCATATACAAAGGATTCCCTATGCATCTAGTACCATCCATGCCAATCAAAAGCAGTACTCTATTCTGACAGAGATTGTTGGAGATATATGCAGGCTCATAGCACAGGCAATAGAAAAATATCCTCCTGATGTGTACTCCCAACTTGACTTAGTATGCTCACTGTTACCAATGGGTGAGCACCTGGTCACTGCACCCTATACTAGCTTAGTACTTAACATCCAGTGCAACACTGCCAGTCATTTGGATGCCAATGATGATTCAGTATGCTGTGTCATTTCCTTTGGTCAGTTCAGCAGTGGACAATTTGTCCAGTACAAGACTGGACTTATCTTTGATATTGTGCCAGGTGATTTGTTTATTTTTCCATCTTCGAAAATCACCCACTTTAACCTTCACTTCTCTGGTTTCAGAGGTTCCTTAGTATTACATCCAGACAGACTGACAGATTCTTGGGTGAAGGACAGAAATGGATGGAAGAATCATATGAATACTACTTTCAATCCCTCAATTCTACTCTAATAGGTTCTCCTACAAATTATGTCTGCATTGTCCTTGTCCATATCTAGATGTCAAAGAGCAAAGATATATAAGCAACCAATTCAATTGATTCCCTGGCTTACCAGGAAGAAATATATGACACTTTGGAGGACATTAATTACCCTTCTGGCTCTACCAAAAAATCTAATTGTGGCCCATTGATAAATGACTCTGACATGAAAGGCCAGTCAATCCCTGCACCAGTGTTTGAGAAACCTTCAGTACTTCCAGAGCAGGATTGGAGCTTGTTGATTGCAAAACTGACACTGAGTGCTGGAAAGCTTGGGTGAAACCCTGCAAAAGAGAACTAGTGGAAGAAACCCAGCATAAATTTATTGTTGATATCCTAATAGCACTTGTTTCCCAGAATGCCATAAGTTATCATCCCAGAATGACATTTTGATCAGCTAATCAAATGAGAACCATGTCCACTTACCTTGAGAAAACGTGTGCCACACATTACAAAAAACCCAAGGTATCTTTTGGCTTTCTTTTTGTTCTTATTGAAGTAACATCTATGTGTTTTGAAATTTGTGTTATAACATGTTTTGAGGCTGACTTGCCTGAGCTTTACCTTTTTCAGTTACTACATAACCAAGTCTCTCAATTCATGAGTGCCAACACAACACTGTTTACAGTGCCGAGTTATAATATCATGCCCACAAATAGTTCTTCCCACACACTAATCATAGTCTGAGAAAGTCCAGTCCACAATTATTATGTGAGGATGAATTCTTGTCAGTCAGTCAGTCTAGAATGAGTGTTGTGGCAATCTCATATATAGAAAGTCAGTCAGCTCAGTCAATTAACCAACTAACCAACTTATAATATTAACTACAAGACTTGTGCATCAGCAAATCACTGGGTTCCTTAACATCTCCTTATCCCAACTCATCTGCCTTGATTTGCATAATAATAAGATGTAAGAAAGCTCATTCACACTTAAAACAAGGAGAATAAGGAGGTCATGATTCTCAAGGTGGATAAATCAGAAAAGGCAGCCAAGCATACTATTATTCAAGACCTGTAATGAGAAAAAAAAGTAAGCTAAGGGAAAAAAATAAGGAGGTGGATGAGTCAAAGGACAAAAAGTAACAAATGATATCAAGGCAGTTCACGAGTGTAAGCAGGTCCAAAAAATATAGAAAAATGCATGATAAGTGCAAGTGGTAATTGTGTGAAGTTCAGAAAGAAATGAGTGTACATTGGCATTCAATGAGAAATATACACATCTCTCACATTGCCTCTAGTCTTGCCTGGGCTGTTTGCATGCACTATGTCATATGCCATTCCAGACTCTCAACTCTAAATCCACTTCTCTGGATATCCAGATCTAAGATCCAGATCTCAAATGATCTGATCTATATCTTCCTTCCGGAATCCAAACCCTATATCAGCACCCAACCCCATTTAGACTTCCCCTGTCTCTGGACTCTGGTTAACCATGTTTCCCTTCTGATTATTGATCCATTACATACATTTCATTTCTGGTGTTCATTATTTGTGATCTGTCCTACTTACTAATAGACTTTGCATATGCTTCATACATAGCCTTTATGTTTGCTGATTGATTCCTATACGATACCTACAGTATATAAACCTCCTGTAACTCTCAGAAATACTCCAGTTCAAATATCATCTTAGTTCCTGCTCATTCCTGTGTCCTCCAGACTCGAGACAAGTCTCTTGTCATATTCTGAAGTCTTAGGATTGCATTCTAGACTACATTTCCAACTCTACCTTAAGGTAGTCTATCCTCTGTTAGTTTCTAGTCTGGACTTCGTCCAGATTAGTCTTATCTGCTTGGCCAAGTAACATCTGGACATTCACCAGATTTATCTCCTGTTTCAGATCTGGACATCTGTTGTCCACCCTAGTCAAATCCTGGAAAATCCAGACAACTGTTCTAGCCCCCAGAAATTAAGGGCACATACTCGGGAAAGGGGCATAGCATATGAGCTGAGGCCAAGTCCTTGTGATCTGACCCCCTTGAGCATGTGACCTTAACACATCACTTGTGAACCAAAATTCAGATGTATCATGCTGCATTTAACTCTGATCATATCTCACCTTTAGCACCATCAGCACTGATCATCCACCTGGTGTCAAAAATCTCCAATATGCCATTCTTTGATAGAACAGCCATCACAGCCTCATCAGACTGCCTGAATGAGAGCAGTTTGGTGCCCATCTTAACAGAGTATAAGTGAGGGTGATAAGCATCAGGGCTGATGCAAGGCAGCAGCTCTTGTAAACATGAGTCAATAAGAGAAACAGCCTACTGGTGACACCCTAATACTTAAACCCGACTTGCATGGATGAACCTTTCTGCATTTGCCATTCAATGACTTTGAACCAGAAGTCATGTGATGCATGGGAAACCTTGAAAATGCAAATTTGCCCAAGTACTCCTTGTGTGCCCCTAGTGTCAGGAGCAGAAAGGAATTGGCAGAAGTAGGCAAAAAGTATTGTGAGCTCTTTTCAACTATGTTTCTACCATGGCAAAAATAGTTCTGACTACTACATTGAGGCTACACCTTCTGATGTCAAAAGTGCATTGATATTCCACCCTGATGCACTCTTTGAGCCTTGACTGAGTACATCAATCTCTTCAATGAAGCCAGTTGGCGTGACACCTTTGTCAAACCTCTCTAGCTCACTCCAGTCAATGATGCCGCCATCCAGAATGTCTGGTACATCACTGGCAACCAAACTACCACCTGCCCCATCATTGTCTTGCAGCTGGTCAGCTTCCCATGTGTTCAGCCTGTGTTGGTTACACCATCACAGGTCAGGTTGTGTGGGCATGGTTTTTGGCAGGGTTGCATACATTTTAAAAATGTCAAGTGAACTCTGCTGGGTTGAGCCTGTGAACTGAGCCTAGGAATTGAGCAGCCCTAATGTATCAAGATTTGTCCAACAATTAGATGCCCCTGAAAATTTGAAGTTTTCACCAGTAACAGAATGTCATGACAAAACTTCAAGTTTTGTCTGCAGATAAAATTAATTGCCTGGTCATCACCCACCCATTGCCCACCCATCACTCAATCATAGCCTGCTCATGGCCCAAACTCATTACCTGGTGTAGTATGGCAGTGTATTGTCATGTCTGGCTATTCAGGCCTTCAGGAAGTGAGTTATGGCACATTTTTGTACATACACACTATACAAACTATGTCAATAACATACCACTAATGCCCAAAGGTTTTTCAATAAAGAATAAATCATTGCCTGTGCCCATTCCTCATCACCAACTAGCCCAGAAACCTTCATAGTAGCAACCTCCCCTATTTCAGCAGGCATGAATGGACATAACCTTTCATCTCCCAGGAACACAGCACATGAGAACTTGAAGTGCAGCACAGAGTGACTTCAAAGTATCCCTGATGACTTCTATTGTAGAAGTAGACAGATCTGTACATAGGTAGGTTGAGGTGAGTGAGAGGAATATAACAATGAGGAGGAGAAGTGACAGTGAGAAGGAGCTGGCTGCATGAACATTATATGGAGTCAAGATTTAAATCCCTCTCACACATACTGTTTATAATTCTGTCACCCTTGGACATTTTAGAAATGAATGATGCATTGGATTCCAGGACAATACAAGCCAGTATGAGCTGCTAAGTGGAAGAAAAATCAACCCCCCATGTATACTGGACATGAGTCCCACGTCTGTTCAGAAGTGCTAGCTTGCCATCCTGGCACCAGTTCACACGTCTGACAGTAGTTAACCAGAACATGACTATTGCTGGGCCAAAGAGTCAGACAAGGATGAGGGATCGGATGAATTTGTTGGCACCTCTTAGCAGTATGAACTGCTGGGTGGTTGAGACTGGAGCAGGTTGTGGCCTGCAGAGTGGTGAAGTCCAATGGTCAAGAATGGCCTGAGGTAGTCCCCTGAGAAGTACTTTACTGACCCTAACTAGACATACATGACCATACATACAGTGGCTCAAAAAACTGTCTGCATGTTTTGACATTTTTCACTATCTATGATATTGTGTGAGAACAAACAAATGCCTCAAGGACATGCTTATAGCACATTGTAGTATGGCTTCAGGGCTTTCATTTGAGCCCTACACCGTGGGAATAGGTGGAGATATGGTGGAGACATAAGGCTTATAAAATGATGACTCATGTGAACAGTTTTTTGAGTGTATATTAAAACTATATAAATCATTATTTATGACACCACAAAAATCATGCCACTATTATATAAATTATGAAGTGGTGTCATTATGTTATTTTATGACTATATCTAACTATATAAACCAGAATGTCTCATGTATCATAGTCATGATCACCATGAAAGCCATCTCCTCTGCTCAAAGAGATAATATCCTCTCTCTGTCTTATGCTGGCCTCTCTGCTCGCCAAATTTCCTCTAGAACTGGAGTATGCAAGTTCACTGTGGCCAAGTTTATCAAAGAAAGCCACCCAGACAAGGAAAACTCTTGTTGAGGATGTCCATCCAAGCTTATCTCTACTGACAAAAGGGCTATTATCCAACATATCACTACAGGAAAGGCTGATAATGCTGTCCAAGCCACCCATTATATCAATTCCACCATCACTACCCCTGTCTCTTCACAAACTGTGAGGAATGTTCTCAAGGCAGCTCATCTCAAGGCAGTAACAAAGAAGAAAAAGCCTCTTCTCTCCATCAAACATAGGGAGAGAAGACTAGCCTTTGCCTTAGCTCATCAACACTGGACTGTAGAGGACTGGAAGCATGTTATATGGTCAGATGAGACCAAAATCAATAGGATTGGGTCAGATTAGAAGGTATATGTATGGAAAAAGAAGGGAGATGGCCTAACAGACAGAGAGGTTAATGGGACTGTCAAGTTTGGAGGAGGTTCGTTAATGGTATGGGGCTGTATGGGATGGAATGGTGTGGGAATGCTTGCTGAGGTTAAGGGGAAGATGAATGCTTGCTGAGGTTGAGGGGAAGATGAATGCTGAGCAGTATGTGGACATTTTAAATGACCACTTGCTGCCTAGCTTGGCAGAATCAGGGATTGATGAAGAAGATATCATTTTCCAACAGGATAATGATCCCAAGCACACATCTAGAAGAGCTAAGGAATGGTTTGAGGAACATAACATCAATGTTCTTGACTGGCCAGCACAGTCTCCTGATGTCAATGTCATTGAACATCTCTGGGGAACACTCAAGAAAAAGCTTCAAGCCTATGAAAACCCCCCTAAAGGAGTATGGGAATTTTGGGAGAGAGTAGCAGTGGAATGGGGGAAGATCACAGCTGAGGATTGCCAGAAATTAATTGAGAGTATGCCTAGAAGGATAGAGGCAGTAATTAAAGCCAAGGGAGGTCATACAAAATACTAGAATACCTGGTTATTATTGTAAAATACTTAAGTCAAAAAACTGTCTGCATGAGTCACCATTTTGTGAGCCTTGTATCTCCACCATATCTCCACCTATTCCCACGGTGTAGGGCTCAAATGAAAGCCCTGAAGCCATACTACAATGTGGTATCAGCATGTCACTGAGGTTTCTATGTATTCTCACACAATATTGTAAATAGTAACAAATGCAAAAACATGCGGACAGTTTTTTGAGCCACTGTACAGTCATGCCATGTGGAGGGGGGGGAAGACCATGGGAGACGTTGAACCAGGGATTAGTGAAGGATTTGGAACATTCAAGGCAATGAAATTGGGAGAGAAAGGTGTGGACGTGGCCATACAAATAGTCATGCTATAGGGAAGAAAGTGACTCAGAGCATGACAAGGAAGAAGGTGGAAGGACACCTATGACGACAAGCTCAGCAGTACAAACTGTTGAGTCTGTGTGTAAGAAAAAGTTAAGGTAAAGGATGAATGGACTTGGAACTTTGGCAATGAAAAAGCACAACAATGCTAGATAATGTATGTTTGGGATTTGAAAGTGCACAACAATGATAAATAATGTTAATGTATTATGTAATAATTCCACAATTCTACATGTCCTTCCTGCACTTCATTAGACTTACTGTAGTACTATTTCCATCCCCTGGTGTGACTGTATACCATCAAGTCCTTCTCCCTTGGCTATGGCACAATGATTTGTATTGTCATGTCTTCCTTCCATTCACCTGCAACCAACTTTGTCAGGGTGGCCATCGACACATGGTGAAGCTTTCATCACCTGGAGCTTAATGGTTTGTACCATCAAGCTCATAGCCTGAATCCTTGATGACCTTCTGATTGACCAAATCTTTGGCTACTCCCTGCTTTGCGGTCATTTTGCTCTAGAACAATTGTCATGTTGTATTTGGTCACCTGATTGTCCTCCAAACTTCAATTGGTCATATTGTCATATTCCCTTCTCCCCATCATTTTTCCCTGTCATTGTCATTACATGACAGAACACTGTACTATACAAATTTACCCTTGCTTAAATTTATCCTCAATCTAAAGAGTTGTGCCAGCCATTTATCGCTCTGCAATGCAATACATATATTCCTCGACTTCTTCAATTCAAGTTTAGTGGTCTTCATCCACATATTCAATTAAAACCCCACATGTCACTTCAGAGTCCACCCTCTATTGTTATGCTCCACTTCCACTTTTCACGCTGACCTCCATTGTCATCAATCCCTTATAATCCCAAGATTCAGTCTGCACTTCTTTTCCACCCACCTGTCACATTAAATCAGTTTGTACTGTTGCACACTTCCCTCGCTCTCACCTGCTTTCTCCGTTGTCTACCATATTGTTCCATGCGTCAACCCATAGCTGCTACTAGGTCTAACTCTTTGGTTCATACTGTTGTGGTAGTAATCTGGTCATAGTTTTGGTCTACCATGTCATTCTACAAGTCAACCCAACCCTTCTGACCCTTCCATAACTGCCGACCTCAAAGTCTTTGTGTGTGATGAGAAGGTCTTCACTTCTCTCACTGTGCACTTCCTGCCTGAAGTGATTCCCTACCAGCCTCCCTGGAACCCCTGCAATGATTGTGATTATTCTCCCAATGACAGCAATACACCACTCAGTCCTTGCTGGGTGTATACATTGTGTCCATGGTTTCCTGTTGTGCCTTTGAACCTGAGCTTCAATGGGCCCATCTTTGAATGCCTGAACCATACCAGGTTTTCTCTTTGCACAGAGGTCAATGCACAGGGCAAGCATGTGCTCCATCGCAACATCAGAGAAAGAAAGATGGTATGAGCTTGAGAAGAAATTGATCTAGTGCCAGGAGTGTTTGGATGCTGGGATGTTCATTCTGTGGGAGACTATACTTCCACCTACTCCAGCTACATTTGGGTATCTTTGTTCACATGAGAATGCCAAACTTGCTATAAAGGTTGCACTGAAGTCATGTAACACATTTTTATGTACATAGTCAATTCCTATCCCCATTGCATTATGACTGACATTTTTCTAGTAATTGCCACTGCCTGTACATGGCACATTATGAGTCATTGATATCATGGTTCCAATCGCCCCTGGATGTCTGTCTTGATTGATGACCACGAGTGCCCCATACTGGCTGAATGAGTTCTCAAGTTATTACATTCATTTGTGGGAGATCTGTCAGCCAATGTTCAATGCACTGGAGTGTTCATCTCCTCTGTCCACTGCCCATATTTGAACAGTTCTTGATCCCAATATGGGTCCACTGTGTCAGGGGGGCATCTGTCATTGACTCTATGTTGTGTCACTATACTCCCTCCTGGGAAGCTCTCACCTCTGTGACAGAGGCTCTAAAATGGGGCCAAACACCAGCTGACGGCACCTGGGGCCATACTAGCATATCAGGTCCCCCTGACAATAGGTGTCAGTATCTGGATGTCAGAGAAATGCAACCAAACACTAGAAGTTTGTGAACCATTGTAAGCACTTCACAAGTTCTTCTCTATTGACAAGCTCTCCTGGGTGTGTTAGACTCTGGACACCTGGGTGTTTATTGGGCCCAAAATGATACACTGAACTTGCTTTGTCCATGTCATTCCAGAAATGTTTGATGATCAGTTTAGAAATTGTGAGCATGGGCTTGGTTATACTTGTTGTGTAGGACTTTTTCTTGTCAGCACTGGCAGCCATGTATTTGTTTGCATTTATGACTATCATGCAGAGAGCAATGAGAGGCCTAGTGAATAGCCCTTGTGATAATTTTAAGATGGTCTATGCAGGGAGATAGATGCATTACTTGTGCAGGAAGATGCTCATGGTAGATAGAGGATCATTCACTCCAGTGTCTTGATTGAGTGTTCATGCACTTGGTTAGTGAGGAAATTTCCTTTATTTGCATCGACATGTCAAGATAGCTCAACCTCATGCATAAATTCAAAGTTTAAACAGTGAGCTCCCTTGGAAAATGAGGCTGTTGGCATAAAAGCTGCATGGTACTGTCTGGGAGGTTGACTCACAATAAGTCCCCCTCCAGAAGAGTGACCACCTCCATATCCTGGTTGGCCTTGACCTTGTTGCATTTTTCAAGAAGATTTGTTAGCTGTAAGGAATGTTCCAAGAATGTTGTGTGCAAAATCTTGTTTTTGGGGAAGGCCATAATCCACATTTTTTTGCCCAGTACTGGCTGGACAAAAGTGACACCTCTGTCTGAGTCATGGTGGAAATTTGTCATGACCCCAGGGTGATGGGCCAAAGCCCACCCATTGAGGAGGAAATTGTCAGGATGGACCTTGGTGCCAATCAGGTAGTTAGCTGTGGTTTGATTCCATCCATGAACAATACCATGATTGAGTTGTTTAATGAAACAAAGGTTGAGAATGATAATGTCAGGGGACAGACATGTGCTCACCACAAGTGTCCTGGGATTCCCGCTCCTGTATATGGAAGGTTGAGGATGAACTGTATCATGTTTGGGTTGTCCAAGTTGCAGATGAACTCTTCAATTGTTCCCTCAACTTGGGGGTATGTGTAATCCCTTGTGCATTCTTTGATGTCTGTTGTACTGTGTAAGATTGATTGCAAAGCAATGTATCCATAAAAAAGACTGACTATGTATAGAGACACATGCATTGGTCTGTTGGAGTTGGAGCTTCCACTTCTCATGTGATTTTCATTGGTCATTTCTATTTTTATCCCTGAGGCATTGTGCTTCAATGGGGTCTGACATCTTCTTCTCACACCATTTTCTTTTGCTCATGGTATCCTTAGACTTTGGAGAGAGGTGAGACAGTTCAGGATACTTGACTTGATGCAGCATTGTATTGAACCATTCAATGTTGGAGTAATGTATGGTGATCTAGAGATTAATAGCTAGGGGCCCAGAGAGAGATCCCACACCAAAGTCAAACAGAGCATTCAACACAGAGATAGGAAGATACACAAGGCCAGAGTCAAACAAAGCATTTGACAAAGAGAGAGAGAGAGAGAGAAAACAGATCAAATACTGCAGTCAAATGAAGCATTCAATGTTGTAGAAATGGATAATTGTATGTCAACACAGAATTACTGGGTTAAGATACAGCTGTTCAAAAGTACAAGGGACATAGTTAGTTGACAAGTAAAGTGTTAATCAATGAATATGGGGAAGGTCACATATTACATAAGTTGCCACTTAAGGTGGGTTTAGATCCACATCAGCAAATCACTGAGTTCTATTTCATACCTTATAAACTACTTAAGAATAGTATTAAGGGTGGCCAAGCAACATAAGGCACTGTTTTTGCAACTATTCACATCTCTGACTTGATGATTACATTTTTCTTGTCGTCCAATTATACCACCTACACTAGTTATATTCCAAATGTCAGAAATAATGTATGCAATAGCTACCAGTTGGACATTTGATCAGGTCTCACACAGTAGACCTACTGTACTTGTCAGCATTTGAAGTGCCCATGGCAGGCCATTGGCTGGCCAGGAAAGAAGACATGGCAGTTGGCAGCACCACATTCATATCTATGGCTTTTTCTCACCACGTGACAGATGGCTACTGCACTGTGATTGGTGAATCAGATCAAAGCAGATTACACTGTACTACACATCCAATATCATTGGAACTTTGCTCATCCTCTTCACCTTCTGCATCCAATTCAACAAGCTTGTAAAACTCCAGCTCATCATCCAGGGATGTCATGCCTATCCTCTCTGTCAATTTCATCCAGGTATCATCCAAGAAATTGAACAGTTGTTGTAGCATGATTTATTTGAATGCTAGGGTTGACTTGCCATGTTCCTGGAAATTGATTATTGAGTGCTTTGGCAATTGATCTTCCATGGTGTTCCAAGTCTCAATGGTGCCAGAATAGTTGTCAGGGTAAGTGGATGGTTCAAGGTTGAACTCAAAACCATGGAGGCTATATATGAGTTGCATGAAATCAAAATCTCATCTTCTATCTGTGGGGACAGGGAGAAATAACTGCCCCTTGGATCAGGGTGGGTTCTGCACCTATTCATAAGAAATGTTCATCAGTGCAAATTTATTAGTGAACCTTCCAGGCCTCCAGTGACTGACCTGACTGACCTCTGACTGATTTGACTGACCAAGCTACATATGGCTATCTCAATCTTACATCATTCACTCAGAGTTATCTGGACTGACTTGTCAGACTGACCCTTAAACTATATATGGTGATCTCAGTTTTACATGATCATTTCAACTGAGAGTTATCCAGACTGACTTGACTGACCTTCTACATATATTGGCTATCTCAATCTTACATGATTGTTCACTCAGAGATTTCCAGACTCACTTCACTGACCTTCCACATATATTGTGATCTCAATCTTACATGATCATTCAACTCAGAGTTATCCGGACTGACCTGACTGACTTTGTGCATACTTGACCTGGGCAGTTCATGGGCTCAATTATCTTTCTCTATGTTGAGTGTGAATGTGAGTCTTGGAAGGGATTGGAAATCCATCAATATTGGTGTGATAAGGAAACAAAACCATGAAAAGTCACAGTTCAGGTCCAGACAGCACATGTGTCACTGGGTTTCTTGAGATAGTTGGGCAATGTTGAAGTGCAATAGACTGATCAAAATATTGTCCTAGGACAATATTTTACATTACTCACCAGGAGTCCAAATTATATAAATGATTTCTAAAATAAGTGATTAATTAATGTGTCACTGTTGAACCTGAACTGTGAACTTGGCCAAATTTGGCAGCCTGATCATGCAAACCCCAACATTTGACAATGGGCCACCTGCAAGACCTCTGCTTCATAATATGACAGACATCAGTACCTCAGTCCAAACCCTTGGTTTGTTGAACATTCAGTGTTTGACTGTCCTGACTGCAACTTGTGTTGAACATCAATGTTTGGCAATTGTTATATGTGCACTGCTCTCATTGAATGTTACCTGTTTGATATTTAATTTCAATCCATGGCTTCAAAGTTATATTTGGATCAACAGGACGCCTTCACAACACTGAATTGGACAAGTATGAGTTTTCAAACTAGTCACTCCATTTGAGCATCATGCATGGCTGCCCTCTTGTCAAACATTGCCATTTGATGTTTCTCAAAAACAACTCTGACCACCCTCTGGTCAAATGTCTCTGTTTGATCCTTCTCAAAAATAAATCTGGCTACCCTCTGGTTAAACATCACCCTTTGGCTTTTCTTAAAAACTACTCTGGCCACCCACACCACTCTCATCAAACATTACCATCTGATATCTGCTCCTAATCCATGGCTTCAAAAGTTACACTCCATGCATATTTCAATCAATAGGACACCTTCATAACACTAAAGCAGTCCATTCGACACTTGTGCATTTCCCTGATGGTTAGTTGGCTCCAGATCATGCCTGATGTCCACTTGGAAGACCTTTATTTTGTAATATCAAAGTAGATGTCTCATCATCGTTCCACAGTTTTGGCAAGAGAGCACAATGCCCTCATTTCAACCTGAAGAAGCATGCAGCTCCATACATGACTTCACCAATCCACGACACTAAAACCTGCTGTCTCTGATAGGCTCAACACCTACACCCTGGTAAAGACATGATGTGTACCCCAGCAAGTCCTGGAACATCATGGCACAGGGTATATTCTAACTCTGGCAGATCAACCAGGTCAAGCATTAGATGTGCCAATACCTGGGGTAGCAGCTAAATGTGGGAAGGATGTCATATCCCATATTCCCTTGAACAAGGTCTGGCTTCAGCTTGTGCACTGCCCCTATTTTCCACTCACACTGTGTATGGTGACCTTGCAGCTGCACTTTGTAACACTTGTCTTTCCTCTGCACTTGGGCATGTCCAGCTGCTGACATATCCACTTTCACTGCTATCAGTCACCACTGGATTTACCAGGACTATATATACCCTGCATCATCATCACTTGCCCCAAGATCATTTTGGGACCATGCTTCACTTACTTGGATTGTCATCCATATGCCATGTCAGTAGTGCATTACAGTATTTCATACACATATAAATAACCATCTATACCTAGCAGTATTAATGGGCCCAAGGTTGTTCTGGGACCATGCTTCACTTATTCATCATCACATGGGGTATGAACTTTGCCTGATAAAGCAGACAGAAAGGGGGACCCACCAGTGTATGGTGTATGAGTCCAGTTTTGACATGGTGATGTCCAAGTAAATTTATTAAAAGGATAAAAATGAGTGAATTATTCAGCATGGTCACATATGAACATCAGTCTATCTATGTGCTCTACAATCACCACATTCAGCAAATTGTACACATAGAGTCATACAACACAAAATAAAACTCAGGAATCTACCATGCTACACACATGTTCAGAACATTCAAGGTGCCAGTGTAGATTGCAGGGCTTCAAAATGATGTAATGTCTTGTGGTGGATTGTCACACCAGATAGCATCTCCTTTACTGTGCATTGGTAGGACTGGCAAATCAACTTCGGACATTGTTATTTTAGCTAGATATCAGTCAGTAGAAGTGTTCCTGGCATTTCTGAGGGTGAAAGTGGTGCAAGTTTGCCTTTCTGACACTGATAAGTGTGCCAAGATGTCCCCAAACTGTATATATTGTATTATAACACTCATTCAACACAATTTTTTGAGAAGAAAAGTACATAGAACTATTCATTGACATTGCAGGACTATTTGATTCTGAAAGACTCAGTGAGGCGATTCATGATGATTTGTGCTGACTATGACAATGAGGACTTGGTAGTGTATGTACTACAGGTGTTTTGCTAGTGTCCATACAAATGACTTGTTACCTTATTAAGCAGGCAAGAAGTTCCTTCCTGTCACTTTGGTAAGTTGAATAATGCAGGACAGATAAGTCTTATTTCTATTGTTGCCACATGTGGATATTATGTAGATCATCTTGTCATTGTATTAGTCACCTTCATGAGTTTCATTTTGACTTGTAGTTGACTCACCAACAACCTCAACTCTGGACTTCTAGCTAGTAATTTCCAGCTAGTCATCCATTTATACAACTTCAAACGCTTCATTTGACTTCAGCCATGGATCTATTTTTTCTCTCTCTCTCTTCGTTGAATGCTTCATTTGACTCTAGCCTTGGATATTTTCCCTACCTCTTAAGTGGCAAATTATGTAATATGTGACCTTCCCCACATTCATTGATTAACACTTTACTTATCAACTGCACCCCTCACACTTTTTGAACAGCCATATCTTAACCCAGTAATTCTGTGTTGACATAAAACTATCCATTTCTACAACATTGAACACTTCATTTGACTTCAGCATTGGATCTACTTATTCTCTCTCTCTCTCTTCGTTGAATGCTTCGTTTGACTCTGGCCTTGGATATTTTCTCTATCTCTGTGTTAAACACTTCATTTGACTTCACCCTTAGATCTATTTTCTCTCTCTCTTCATTGAATGCTTCATTTGACTTCCAGATATCTTCTCTGTGGCATGGCTTGTGACAAACGGCCAGCAGTCAGACCTTCAACGGTCAGTCACAGTAATGCACCTTGCAAGCTGATCCAAGCCATGACTGTTAGTCAACTGTGTCCTGTTGAGCTGCCTGCTCTTGGTCAGTCCACAAAGTCATCCTGTATTTTTTGTGTCTAACTACCTGCTACAGACAAGAGCACAACATCATCCAAAGCTTCACCCTAGGGAGACACTGACCCATGGCAAAGCATGGAGCCCATTCCTAAGCATCTACAACATCCCCCTCTGCATATGTCAGCTCCACAATTCTTCATTCTCATCTAACATTTCCTGTTAGTTGTGATGGCACAGCCTGGTAAATTCTGGCCAGATGGACAAGAACCCCCCCTCACAGGCCAAAAAGTCAGCAAACGCACATTTGTGACAGACAGCAAAGGCAAGCCCAGCAAGGAGATAACTCACAATTACCCTGAAATAGGTCACCTCAAAACCACGCAGTGCTTGAAGCAAATATTTCACCCAAGAACTGGTGACATTCTGCTGTACCACAATTATTCCGACTACAAAGACAGCAAATCTGACTTTGATGATGAATACTTCCAAATTTTGAATGGTATTAAGATCCATGTTGCTCAAGGGGAAGAGAGACTGACTCAGAGGGGCTTGGCCTCAGCTCGTACGCTGTGCCCCTTACCCAAGTATGTGCCCTTTATTTCATATGAGGTCTGAGGATGGTCTAAGGAAGTCCAGAGGACTTCTGGAGGCTGGCTACTCTGCTGGAGAGCGCTAGAGGACTTCTGGAGGAGCATGGGAGAGTTCCCACTGCAAGGTAATACTTCTATATGAAACAGGGTGGAAGGATAGGAGGTCCAAAGGTCTGGAGGACAGGAGGACAGGAGGACAGGAGGGCAGGATGACGGAGGACAGGACGTCTGGAGGTATGAAGGACAGGATGTCTGAAGGTACAGAGGGCAGGAGGATAGGATGTCCAAGGGTTAGGAGGACGGAATGTCTGAAGGTATGGAGGGTGGAACATCTGAAGGACAGGATGCCCAGAGGTACGAGGGACAGGAGGTCTGAGGTCCAGAAGGAATAGGGGCTACATTGGACTTCGTCTGATGTAGAAACAAACAGGGGTAGACTACCCTAAGGTAGAGTTGGAGAGACAGGGATTGGACCTAAGTCCGGAAAGAGGGTAAGTGCCAGAAAGGTGGAGCTCTGGCCTAGGGAATCAATCCCTAGGCCTGATAGGTAGGACAGACTTGGGTGGACCAAAGTCCAAGAGAGGATTGGGCAAGTCTAAGTTGATATTCAAACTGAGGAACTACAGGAGTATCTACAGGGGTTATATACTGAACAATATCTGAGGGGATCAGTAAGCAAAGGAGCAATGCTATGTACGAGCATGTGGAAACACATTAGTAAGTAAGTCAGAACATAAGTAAATGAACTTGGAGATGAGGACTCATACAAGGATCAATAAGCAAGATGGAACAAGAGGTAACCGAAAGCTGGAAGGCAGAGAATGCCTAAATGGGGATAGGCACAGGATATTGGACAGAGGGTGGGAATAGGTCCGGAGATCTGGGGATCCAGAATACAAGAAGGTGTATATAGTCCGGAATCCGAGATGAGGTGAAGTCTGGATGTCTTGCTGGATGGAGTGCACACAGGGCAGACAGGATAGGGTTGTACAGATCAGGCTAGCAGTGAGGATCCGGAGGTCCAGAGCTCAGGGGTAAATCTGGAGCATAGTCGATCCTGCTGAGGTGTGGAGTACACAGCAGAAGGGGATCTGGGAATGAGTCAGATATGGGGTCCAGACATAGGCTCAGAAGGCGTGGGAATATGATGGAATGTGGGTCCAGATTGTGGGATATGACAGATGGTGTACATGTCAATCCTGGCCGAGCCGCTGATCTCTTGTTGGGTTCAAAAATCACTCTGGCAGGTGATGACACCAATAGTGCAGAAGTTAATGATGGTGTTGTCACAATGTCTTCCAAGGCAACCACCCATTGTCATCCACCAGAATCCATGCTCCTCATCCAGTCACATGCACTGCACACATCAGCACACCTTTAAACAGCTGGCCATTGGATCAATCAAGGAAAGAAATTCCCACCCACTGCACTGTTCACACCATATGCCCTCCAGCAGCTGTGCATGGCAGTTTTCACTGTTCCTATGCAGATACTAGCACCATTGCTCCTGCCTCAGGACATCTCCATTGAGGACCTGATTAATTTCCCCTTACCTGGCATTTCAATGTGGCAATATAGATGTGCTATAACCTTTGAAGACAGTTTACCTACAAGGCAGGATTTGCCTTCCAGGGAACTGCCTTGAATGGTGGACATTCAAGTGCTTTGTGATAACTTTGGACAGGCCCTCCTTGATGGAAAGTGCTTGATACTTGATCCTCACTTCAAGAATAAATTGCTGCCTTTGTGGGTGATCAAGTTCTGGTGGCAGTTGCACTGTGTATACACCAGCAAGACACAATGGGAAGGTGCACAGCATTGGCTACAGGATCTGGTAACTGCAAATAGGGATGTGCAGATGTTTCACGAGGCAGCAAAGCAATTATGCAGATTGCCTGCAAACAAGCTCCTCTGCAGTCCCCTGCACACTCTGGCAGATGCACTCATTTCCTCATAAGCTTTCTATTGATCTCCCAGTGGTTATCAGAGCCTGTCATCAACACCATGGTAGCCAATCTAGTCGCTCAGTTAGATGTCAATCAGTGTGACTTCGTTATCACCTCTACCAGCTTTATTGATGCCATCCTCTCCACAAAAGACATTTCATACCATGAAAAACCACATGACCAACTCCTAAAATTTGAGAAGGCTGCAAAGAAGTATAGATACCTTTGCGCTCCTGTGCATCTTCATCTGATAGCACATTTCATTGCTTTTGAAATTGACTTTCATGCCAGGACTTTTAGATATGGTGAGTATCCACATTTGTTAGACTTTTATTTCATGCAAACCAACTTTGATACAGGTGATTCTCTTTATCATCAACAGAAAAGCAGTTCAGAATATATTATGATGAGGCTCCAATGGTGGTTCAAGAAATGATTCAATGGCAAATTCACCAATTAATAACTACTGCTTGTGTGAGCTGTTTGTGATCAACACAATCGAGCATTGCATCTTTGTATATCCACTGGGTGTTCCTAACCCTACCTTTGAGAGAGCTAGGTGGTTCACCCTGATGGCAGAAGATCAGAATTAAGATTCAGAAATCTTGCCAACTCCAGTGACAGCACCTGTGTCTGGTGAGAAATTAGGGATAATGAAGCCAGCTACCAAGGGTGTGTTGCTGTCATGCCAAGTTGGTATGAAACAGGAGTCTGATATTCATCATGTCACAAACATGAAATTCTCGTATCTCAAGAAAGAAGCAAAATGGCAAGTGGTATGGAATGAGGCCTCAGCAGTGTCTGAGCAGGAAAGGTTGAAATGTGAACAGGCTGAGTGTCACAAGGCCCAGAAAATGGAGAAGGAGGAGATTGAGATTGAGAAGCTCAAGAGGGAGAAGATGGAACTTGACAGGATTGAGAAGGAGCAGGAGAAGCTGGATCTCAAAAGGATCAAGAAGGAGAAGATGGAACTCCACAGGATTGAGATGGAGAAGGAGAAGTTGAAGCTCAAAAGTTTCAAGAGAGAGATGATGGCACTTGACAGGATCGAGAAGGAGAGGATTGAGCTCAAGACTCTCCAACAAGAGAAGGCACTGTGGGATCATCCTGTGGGTGGTGTTTCCATGGATGATGGCAATGACATGGAAGTTGATGTGCCCCCCATGTCTCAATCTCTCAATATGGAGGTCGAACCTGGCAAAATTCCATCATACTCCAATGCCCCCTGTCTCCACAAAGGCAAAGGCAAGGCCATTGATCACAGAGATTGATCTCCTGATTTTCACCATACAGAACACCTGCGTTATTCAAAATCTCCTCACTATAGAGCCTCATCCTACAGGGACTCCAATGTTCATCAGCCAGTCTCTCTGCCTCATTGACCTTTGACCTACAGAGACTATTCATCAACACAGTGGCACCATGGCATCTCCACTCATTGTGGTTGATCATGTTCCCCAGTTTTCTCTACTTGCCACAGTCGTTCATGCTTGCCAGTTGGAGCTTGAGTAAAATATCAACAGTCCATGCATTACCAGAGTCTGAGCTGTTGAAGAATCCATCACTGTAAGTTTTCATTGACTTCCATGCTTATCTACGACTAACATTAATTGTTGTAGCACATTCTCCTCATTATGGCCATCTGGGTACAACACTCCAACAGACCATTGCTGTGAGTTTTTAATATCATTGGTCTGGCTATACAACTAATTGTAATGTGTGTAGCTCTTATCTCTGGGTCCTCTGTTGCAGGTCCCTCAGTGCAAGTATCATCCACTGTGCCATCAATTCCTACCCACTTCCATTTGCCATAAGTGTGATATTGAGTGCAGTTTTTGACTGTTATGGTCATGTATGCCCCTATTCATTTTCTCCTTACTATCCTTGTATTATGTCATGAGCTGCATGATGCTGCCACTAGATCTGTCTCATTTGTATTACATCACGATCACCATTGCCATTGCTAGATGACTCATTTCTTATCTCTGACTCATTGTTGACTTATGCCTGCCCTGAAGCATCTATAGTTATATATATAGTCAACAATGTACTTAGTAGTTCTTTACTTTAATCTTACTAGGTTTTCACCTGGACATTCTCTTGCTTAGGACCTCCAATCCTAAGTCATCTGAGCCAATATTCAAGCCGGAGACACTCTCTTTGTCTTGTCTTATGACCTTTGCATTTGCAAGGTCTTGACTATAACTTCAGCTGTTGCTCTTATTGAGCTGCTGTTGTTACAACTATCCTAGTTTGTAACATTGACAGGATACCACAGTACCCTGCTGAGACAACAACCACTCAGTGGATCATCAAGAATACCAACTGCCTCAAGCAGTTCAACTTTCCCAGTCCCCTTTCCTCATCACTGACAAACCACCATATAAAAACCACATTCTCCACATCATCTGCAATCCTTCATACACATTTTTAAATGTCATCTCTCATGGTAGATTGGTCATCTCTAAGAGGACCAAATTAAGACTGCGTCTGTGGAGAGCGCAATATCTGGACATACCATTATGGTATTTCACTATTCAATGTCTCTCTCAAGGACTCAATTGGCAGGTTTTTGTCAACCCCCATCACCTCATCGGCCCTCATTATGGTATCCTGGCTCCTCACCCCATCCATCTCGATGCCAAATATCCCCACCTTCAACATATGGACAGCGATGTGTTTACCCAGTATGAGGATAGGGTCAAATACTTTTTCTGCCTTCCATTTTCCCAGTGTGCATTTACAATGGGTGGTCTGCTGTGGCGGCTTGCAGTGCACTATGGGCCCAACAACCTGTTTTCATCTGCCTTGTCTGGACCATCCACCGATGCTTCCATACACTGCAATGTTGATCGCAATGGCATGAACATCGACGATACAATGACAGAAGATCACATCAATTTTCTGATAGGCCTCACCAGTGACAACCACTCTTGATGGCCTCCTCTGAAGTTCTTTGAGATATACCAGTCATGGGAAGGAGAATTGTCACTGACTTGGGAGACCTGGTTCTTGGAATGTATTGCCATAATTCATAATCGCAGTAAGCTCATGTTCATCCACCATGCTGACTGGTCCAAAAAACCTCATTGACACACCACAATTGCATATAGTAAAGAGAGTATGGCTGGAACCAAGGCTCATGTGCGGCGGTTTATGCAAACAGGTTGATGATCTGCATCCTTTCATGGGTTCATTCACAACTTTAGCTTAGGGCAGCAAGCTTGTTTATTACCATAGCCTATTACTTTGTTCATTTTTATCCACAGACCATATAACACATATGCATAAATGGTTTTTATAGTCATTATTGACAGAATACATAACTTGTTGCAGGGATGGCAACTCCGTCAGGCAAGTGTCAGTCCTACGACAGTCAAGTCAGTCATTTTATTATAGGTGATTTTTGTAAGTGGGTTAGGGTGAGGCACAGGTGTTCTTCCCAATTTTGAAAACATGAGTCACAAATATGTGAAGTCCTGGATGTGCAAGCCAGGATTCTAACTTGCTGCTCCGCAGCATCTGCCCTGGTATGTTGAATTCAGAGAAATGCCCTCCTCCATCTGGATATGCACTGCGATGTCACTCACCTTTTTTGATGTCTCTAAGGCCATGGAGAATGGTGTTGAGACCAATTCTCATGCACCCTCACATAATCTTGCAAGAACAGCACTTTTACAGGAGATAGTGCCTGACCATAAAATGCACTTGGCTGGCTCAGTGTCTGGCACAAATACTTTGGAATGGGGCTCCCAGCTCCCACAAAAGTGGAGAGGATTGTGATTTCATCTGCCTGAAATGGCCCAGTCCCTGGAAACTGCAGTATAAAAGTGAATAATCAGGCTCCCAATGGGATGACACCAACTGATATCCACATGTGCCACATCAATTGTCTCCAACTCCTCAATCTCAGCAATATCAATAAAACTCTGCTTGATTGCGCATGCATACATGCCCATCTTTTGCACATCTCCTCTAATATTGGCATAGTCAAATGCAAATGCAATAGGTAGGGTGGCCAGCCTGATGCTCAGATACAGAGGGTAGCATCTTGAGGTAGCAGGCAAGAAGTGTGTGAGGAGGATGTTTTGTGCATTCACGCTGTTCACCACAAGTTGAGCAAATGTCTGGGTGAATAGCAGGTGAATGCACCTCTTGCCTATGTCAATTGCCTGCCCAAAGGTGCTGTGCATCTTGGCACATGTCATGTCAACTTAATTATGAGTTGTAGTGGCTTCATGGATGAGCAGGGTAGCTCCAGTGCCTGCCTGCACAAGCTCTTGAGTTAAGGCTGTGTCATCCGAGAACCTGGGCATGTGGAGTCAGTAACACAACAAGTCAAGAAAAAACAATGCCATACATGATAGGTGGTATAAGGTCTACAAGGCTTTGGCTGTGCAAGAGTGACTACCAAGGGGAAACCACATTGGTATTCATGGCAGACAGTTAAGTTATAACTTACATGGCCATAGCAGATACATGAACCAAGTCCTCATAAGGTCAACTTGCTTGTAGATCTCTGGACATGCGCAAATAGCACAGGCAGTATAACGCTCAGATTTTTCACCACCAGTTTGGTGAGTATTCCTCAGCATCATGTCTAGAACCCTGGATGTGTCCATGTTGTTCACATGTGGTGGAGTTTTGATCTACCTGTTTTGCTTTGTCACTAGCTGGTCTATGATTTGTCAAACCTGCTCCACATAGGTTGCAGTGGATATATCAGTGGTTCACATAGACAGAATCAGGTTTGCTGATGATCTCACTCAGGTCGATTATATTGTTCATGGTTTGTGGTTCGCAGTGAGTAAGGCATGCTAGAGGATAAGGTATAAGCTCAGTTTTACAGTGGCAACAACAAAACCCAATTAGGAAATTTCCAACATCTTGATGACAAATTTCATTCTACTTATGCACATGGTTCAATCATTACTTTTCTCTTCTGTTTTCACAACTCCTCATGACATCTTCACTTAATGCCTGCTCTCACTTCTACTCACAAATGAAATCACCTTCAACACCCATCTGACCATATCACTCATATGGTCATTGTCCCCATCATCCTCCATCCCAACCAAAATGTAGATTCAGGATGTCAGCAATTCAACAACCTTCCAGCCCAATATATACCATTGTCAAGTCCTTTTTGCATACAAGTCCTACTGCTTCATTTTTGTGTGTTTGTGTTTGGCTCAATTATTTGATTCTGACACTGCTGTCTCTAGCTTCTACTAATCAGGACCAAATTACTGATCCCCTCCATCTGCAGCACATCTATTCCTGCTTCACAGGCCTGTGGTTTACCAACTGCCAGCAAGACCTCAGTTCTCTCACCTTTCCATCTGCAGGCAGCATTCTCAGTCAAGTGAGGACAGACTGGAGAATTCTGGGGATGAGTGACCCAGTGAACAGCTTGGCACTTCCTCCATATAACTGACATTCTCGAAGTATCATCATGCAGCAGGACAATATTTTATTGATGTAGGTGATTGGTCTTTCACTATCTATATGAGTTGAATCATTATGGGTGTAATGTTTTCCTAATAACAGTTTTACATAATTAATGACTGTCTGGTCCATAATCCTGACTATGATGCATAAAGCTTTAAATTGACCAAGGTAGTCTCTGAGGACATCAACCAATGCTACACCATTAAAGATGCATGTTGTGATAATTCTTTCAAAGTGGCTCTAGTAATGGTAACTACATAGCTAGGATCCAAGGGCCAAAGGATGATCAATGATCCTTGCTCATGGATAACTCACAGAAACATAGGTGGTACTTGGAGTTGTATCAGAGGAGGGCCTCCTACATGTTGACATTCCACAATAGGTCATGCATTTCATCTATGTAGTGACAGCTGATAGATGTGCCAAAAACTGGATCATCTTGCACTATGTGCAAGGACAATCATTCCCCTTCTCAGATGTGTAGGTTTTGGTATTGACAATTTTTGACCTGACATCATAATCATCCACTAAGTCAAATATACACCACAAGGAATACCAAGCAAGGCCAAGTTGTCAATGGATAATGGATCAGGACCTGGGGAACCAATTCTTTTTGTCACACTAAATGAACTCCATGTGTTCGGCTTCTTTCTGAGTGTCTTTGGGCACCAAGTTCAATAGTGTTTGCAGTTCTACAGAGTTCTTGACTGTCATATAGATGGTTCAGCAAGTCCTTAATGTGGGAAGATCAGTGTGCATGCTGGTTGATAAGAGGGGGCGACTCACCATAAGATTTCATGTATGGAAGAAAACCAAGAAAATGGCAGGCACAACTCCTCTACAATAGGGCAAATACCAGTGAAAAGTATCAGCCCATGACAGGATGCTGATTCTTGGTTCATTATTGAGACCAATTGAGAAGACATAAACAGTTCTGTCCTTGTGGTGGCATTGTCCAATGACACAGATTGCTGATATTCAAATTACCATTTCATTGACGTTATCAACCTCAGTGATGAACATTGTCTTCATCAGATTTGATAGGTATAATGAGTCAGTACTCAACTAAGTTACCTCCACCCACTGTGCTCTGGAGATCAGCTTCAATGCATCTTCCTTGAATCCTCTTGACTGATTATACTATTGCCACCTCAATCCTTGTGCTGGTGTAGGGATTTCATTTACTGTGGGCTTGTATAGGCAGATATTACTTAGTGTTATGTTCGCATTTTGGTGCTCACATAATCATCATAGTTTTCACTATCTACCAGTACCAGTCTGAGACTGAGAGTTATTAGCATGATTTCCTATCCTCTCTGAGTACTGAGCTTAGTCCAGAAACCCTTTATGGTTGAATAGCAGCTAGGCATAGCACATTTAGCCCAATATTAAAAGTCTACTTTCCAGTTCTCTTCTTGTTGTGTTTCCCACACCAGGGTCTCAGACTAGCATATTAGCACCCTGTGATATGAAATGAAGTCTGGATGGGCTGATTGTGTACAGTCCAGCCATAGCAAACTGGTACCTGTGGCCCTTGAATATAAGGAAAAAGACTAAGACATGAACAACACTAGTACTGCTGAGCCAGCCAGCCCTGTGACAGTCACGGCTGTGCCAAACAAGAAGAGAGAAGATAATGAAAAGATGCTTGACTCCATAATCCTTTAACATGGACTGACAAAAACTTTACATGTCACGCAGTCATTAGATCAGGATAGCTGAGTTGTGTGGACTTTACCTTTCTGGCCCAGCCAATTATTTGCAATTACCTGTGGTTAAGTGAGTATTTGTTATTCTCTTCCAGAACTGCAGGACAAATCTCAATCAAAGGTATGAGTAATAGTGCTTGTGATTGATGAAGAGATGAGGTTCTGGCAAAGCTGTCATATATTGTGTGACAGCTGACAGGTAGCTTTGTCATGGCAAGGGCTAAAACAGTCCCTTGCCATGACCAATTTTTCCTTTATTCTATGTGTCTGTAACTATGATCTATCATGTGCATCTCTTTATGTAATAGCAGGGCAAAATGTTCCTTGCTTTGCAAGGTAATACTCAGCCATTCCATGACTTTGTATACATTGCTCTGGGCTAATATTTAGTGCTTTCAGCATTGAATCAACCAGAAGCTCCTCCTTATGGCAATATTATGTTACTGTCAGGTTTGCTATCAGTAGCACTGACACTTTGGATGCTATAATATCAGTGCCATGGCAGACTTGACTAATAGATTAATTCATTGAATCTTAAACCTGCCAAAAATTTCAAAAATTTTGGTCTTACATGTATGGTATCATAACAAGTTGTTGCACATTTTTTAGCTTTTTACTGGTGAGTTTATCTAGGAACCCACTAGTATGATGTGCAAATGGTGCCAAGATGCATACCATTGTGATACAGCTTCCAAGTAGGTTCATCTGGAGGCACCTGCCAATTCTAGCCCTGGCTCGAACTCAGAGGACTTCAATGGTTCACTTGAAATCTGGTTATCCAATGGGCAGTCTATAGTGTGCTGCAAACGATCACATACTCCAGTGCACTCTTCTTGCCCCCTACCACCATCTGTCCCTTGTTAGCTGGAGTGAGAATGTCATTTTGGCAGTATGGTATTGTCTGTGACATTACTTCTAGTCTTGTGCCTGCTTCTCACCTGTCAGTTCACATGAAGCACCTCCACCACAGGCAGAAGTTAAGGAATCGGACACCTTCAGCAATTAAATCAGTTCTAGTTACTCACCTCCTCAACAGCCACTATCTTGCATCAACAATGCCCTGTCCTAGCCTCCCTAGTGATTTATCTAAGCCCATTCAGGGTCTTCAGCCAGAGTAGTCATCTTATTGTCCACACCTGGGGTGTCATCATTGGTATGCTGTAACAGCAGGGAAGTCTTCCACTAAGGGTCAGTATGCCCAAACCAGAGCACACATCACTGTAGCCCACCCTGAAAATGCCAAAACTTATCTGGCTGGGGTCTTTGAAATGAGATGGATCTACTGTTCATTTTGCAAAACTGTCAATCATAAAGACCCATTATCCTCAGTGGTCTGGCCTTTTATCAATGACTATGCTCCTATATCCTTGCTGCAAGCTGGTGTTGTGGTGAGGTCCTTTCACATGCAATGTACGGTTTCTGTCCATAGTCAATACTTCACAGACCTTGGGTGGCAGAAGTTTATTGCTAGCCTGGGCCTACAACCAGGTGTCCTTCATGGGTTGACTAGGCTTAGAACAAAGAAAGAGGCACTATCCTTGGAGGGAATGGAAAGGCAGTTTGAGCTCAGTCTTATTATCATTCAGAAGCTCTACAGGTCATATATTGTGGACATCCAGAGCTATCTATCTTCCAAAAATGATGCACAGTTTCATCAAGCAGTAACAATGAAGTGAGCACTCTTCATCTTCGTTTGTGCATAGCTCATAGTCTATTTAGCACCAAGGCACACTTCAGACCATTGGGCCAAGTGTCCTACTACACCTACTCTAGGCCTCTGTCTCACTGTGTCTGTATGCTAATCAGATGGACCCATGCTGAGCACACCAGGGCTTTGGCACCATTCAGTGCTCTTTATATCAGATGGAGTCTGGCCTAGGAGTATGCTACCAACATGCTTTATCATTACCTCATTCAAACTGAGGTTCCCCATCCTGCTGCACTTCTCCAACTTCTGCATCAACTGCTTGTGACCCTCATCAAGCAGAAATTTACGAACCTAGAAACAATGGCATGCCCAACAGACTAGACCCTATGTATCAGCTCACTAGCTGACAATGGTGGCTTTCTACTTGCTTCCACCACCATCAGGATCTGTGCTATGCTGCAGCACAACTTCTATTCCATTATCATTCACTCTACTTGACTTGAGGACATTGGCTACTAACATTTAATTCCATTTCATTTAGATAATTTCACCCTGGTGTCATATCCTGTATACCAGACATAGATCCTATCATATTCCCACGCTTTCTGGACCTATTTCTGGACCCCATATCTAACTCATTCCTGGATCCCCTATCCTGTCCACCCTACACACATTCTGTCCAGCAAGACATCCAGACTTTACCTCCTGCTCAGATTCCAGACTACATCCACCACCTCATATATCTCAGTCCTGTTTCCATCCTGCCTTCTGGATCACCAGATCTCCAGACCTCTGGATATTAACTAGTTACTAT